GCACGATGTTCAAGACGGCAATGAAAAAATGCCAAGTGAAAATTGTTTCTGTGTTACCCTGTACTCTGGAAATAATCCAGGAACATACGGTTTCATCTTTGTCACCTTCTGAAATCAGTCCAGTGCCGTTGGTTGAGTTGTTCATGTCGTGTTTACAACAAAACGCAGCTTATTTGCAAGTCACGAGAACTTCTCACTCCAGTAAGCAAGAATACTAACACACGCTTTTCCGTTTTGGGGTCGCGAGGTCTCGCAAGATAATTGCTTTTGAAAGCCTCCTGCTACTGCCTATTCAAATTCACCAAATGGAAAAGAAATCAAATTTAAAAACAATAGGCTTAGCTGCTCGGCCCGAAGGGATGATTTATTGCCTTTTCAGTATCACACCGACGACAAGTCTAAACAAAAGAATGGATTTTCCAAAAGTTCGATTGTCACGTAACATGAGATAAACAATATGCAACAGAGCGAATACAACGGAAAAGCACATCGTTCCAGGAGGAAAAAAATGATAGTCCGTTGTTGCTTTTTGTAATAATTATTATTTTATTAATTTTCAGTACTTTTTCTCGCTTCAAAATTAAAAAAGGGAATAGCGTATAGGATAACCTTCTCCCGGTCTATACTGAAAGTCGCTGTTATTTGCTCTTTCTGATTTGAAGTAAAACAATGGCCAGCGCATGCTTGCCGAGGTCTCTCTTTTTCTTGCTTCCTTGCTCTACGTGAAAAAAAGGCGACAAGAGAGCTTGCTTACAGGTTAGTAGCTGATATGTCATTCCGTCACCGTATTGCGGCGGAAAGCTCGCGCTTCATATAAAAGAAGAATAACACCTCACTGTGATTTCAGTCCGCAAGCAAGGCGGGAAGTAATGTCGAGATTACGCAGTATGTATGATAGCTAAAGCATAAATCTTTATTTAAATCAAATCATCTGAGAAAATCTGTTTTTCAAAAATTGAGATAAATTTTTGGGAAAAACACCAGTAGCAGGTGCTAATATGACACACAGCGCCAGCTTTATTAAACGGTGCACGGGTAAGAACTCGCAGACCTCTCCATATAAACATTCTGCGCTTCCACTTTTCTGTTTTCCAAGCGAATCACAAGTATATTACAAATTAAGTCTTTGAAAATTGCTTCTCCTGCGGAAAATCACCTCGCGGTGAAGAGGTTTTCCTGAAATGTCACACATTTTTTAAAAGGATCGCACAGCAGGGCAACTGTGAGGCTAAAAGGAACGAACTGCAAAAATAAAACCACAGGGTAAGTCACCCGTTGCCAATAAGTAACCATCACCTGAGTCGAAAATACAAGTTAATTGATTTCTGAAGTTCTTCTCTCATCCTATAGTCGTCACTCGCATCAGGGAGCTGCGACGGTAAAAGGCAAACCTTTCTTTTTTCCTATCAAACAAGGAAGAAAAGAAAAGGAAAGAAAAAAAAGACAAGGAAGTTTGAAAAAACTTGAAATAGTCTATGCTCCTTGTTCCCGATTGAAAGTTTACTGGACTCAGACGATGTTGATAGCCAGCCGACAACTTACTGGTCTTCCCGAAACTACGCACATATACATAAAATCATCAAAATAGTCAGGATGTAGGCGCTATGGATGTAGTGCAAGACTTCTTAGCAGAAAGAGTGTTCGATCAACTGAGTGCTTCCCCGAAAAAAATGCTTGCAACTGTGAACAAAAAGCGCCTCACGGCAGTGAGTTGGTGATATCGATAAGTGATGACAAAAATAGGGAAGCCAGAAATGTCGAGTTCTTTAACTAATGATAGAAACAAAAAAAATATTCGCCCAAATATTAGTGTTCGCCTTGAGATGTATAAACTGTACACGTCACTTTATGACACACTTTCAACGCTGTGGTCTGAGCGCATTCAACTACTCTATAAGTGAGGGTAAGCAACACTCGAAACCGGCTGATTTATTATTGAGTTGCCTATAAAACGTGCTAAAGTCCAACGCCCACTCATAGGCCAGTGTTTTTCGGTTTAATGGTTACATCGCCTCCTAGCCTTTGGCGATTGTTGGTGTAGTCTTGCACGGATGTCCGTCACGAGTTCTTTCAAAATATTCTTAATCAGTGGATCCATTCTATAGAATTAATTGGAACCACAGAAAACTACAACGCTCACAGAATGTGTTTGACAAATACAAACGAAACTCTGACGTCAATTTCGTTTGCACAGCAGGCATAAACTATGAACTAACTGACAGAAAAAGGAAGTTAATCGTTTTCAACCACTTGAATTTACATTTGCAAATATAAATAAATAGGTGAAGTTGCGGTTTACGATCGAAAGAGTTCTCGATCTTTGGTACGTTATTTTTCTCAACCTTTACTTATAGTCCTGTTCAAACTCACATTCTCCCAAACTTCTCCCAAGGTGAGGCTACCTTACATCGCAGCCGAATTTTCTGAATACAGTCATGACCGAAGACCCCTCATTCTGGGGGCGAAACTACTCCTTTTCATGGCAAAATGGGTACGTTTCGCTGCGCAGGGAAAAACTCAACCGCCGGAACAGTTGAAAGTTGTGCATAATCCAATTAAAAGTACTTAAGCACAAGTTTCTTGCGGTAAAATTGGAAGCAAAATACAGAGATCTTGTCTTCAACTAGGTCACGACTGAGAGAAGACTACCTTGCATTGGGATCCTCCCAAGTGATCCTTACCACCCTCACCCTCTCCCCCTTTTTATAGGGGCCAGTCACCGGCTGTATTGAACGTACAAAGCAGACCAACGAATTGACAGTGCAACGTTGATGTTGCTTGTTTGATATGTTACTGATGAAAATCAACAACATATCAAAAAAGCATTTTCTACTAAAAGATCCAATGGTCATGACTGGTTTTTCGTTTTAGCAAGGACTAACCAGAGCCAATTTCCTTGTAACCCAAATAACAGCGGAAGTTAGAAAGAAAACATTGCCCTGACTGCGAAACGTGATATTATTTTAAGCGTTTTTTGCCGATTGAGCAAAACAAATATTTTTTCAAGGACCCGAAGTAAATCACGTTTCGGAGTACTTGCCAAATGAGAAATATCTTCAAGAAAAGAAACTCATGGTATTGAAACTTAACAAGAATGAGAGCAATCAGTTTTCGAGATGGAATGTTCTCTGAAGGAATGGCTCAGAATAGGACAGATTCTAAGACATATGAGAGAGTCACATGAGGATGTCGTCATGGTAGTCCTGGCAAATATTTCCTCTTGTCAGATTGTGTAAACTGCGAAACGTTTTTCTGTGACATACATCTCGAGATTAAGAAGCCCTTTCTGGTGTATCACGTTCAATAATCCACATTTTAAGCTCGCCCATCTTTGCCAGCCTTTTTTTCGACTACAGAGAGGGATAATACTTGTTTTAGAAATCTTAATCTGTTAAACGTCAGAAGACGTATCGTTGACTTGATTTCTTTTGACAAGAGATGAGTAAGTATCTGAAGAAACTCATCGATTAGAGTTGAAACATACCAAGTGGTTTAGACGTTAAGTCTAACTACACGACGCTTTTTTTTTAAAGCAGTGATGGCAAATAATTGAAAGTAAAGTAAATAAATAAAAGATTAGAAAGAGAGTCACGACGACTGAGGGGACCACCACAAGATCCATTCAGAAACTAAACGCAACGCAACAAACGCGCAAGGATAATGGCTAATAAGATTAAGTCAGAGTTTTCATTCATTCCTGGATAGTTCCGGTCACAAATGGCAGAATAGCAGCATGATCTGAAGAAGTTCAGAGAAATTTGGTCGCTTAAAATCGCTGCTTATTCGCTCACTGTTATAGATGACGTGAGTCTTTACTGTGGTTTGCGTGACTGTTTCCACTTGTGTGGCGCTCGCTTCTCAAATATCAGTCAGCACTTTCATTGAGTAACCAAGAAAATCCAAATGAAATGGAAGTAATGGTGCTCTAAAACCGTAATCGCATAACATTAGATCGTCAAATTCCATTCACGTGATTGGTCTCTTGCCACAAGGAAAAGGTTAAAGATTACATCTGACAGATCAGCAAAGAATTTTTTAGTTATCATAGATTTGATTACACACAATAACGTCTAGTTCTTATTAAATAAATGGTTATGAAAACAATAAGGAAATATTTCTACTTCAGCTCTCGTTAGTGATGTGTCTATCTTTGGTAGAAGAATTTACTGAAGTCAAATAAAAGGCTTGAGTTTCCAATTTTGCGAACGAAATTCCCTTGAACATTTAATTTCGAAACTCTTATTTCACTTTTCACTCGTAGCTACGAAGAGAAAGCATCTATCAGTCACTTCCTGTTTGCTTTTTGCGTGTCATTCGCAAGACGCTCAGCGATTCTCAGTCAAGTGTCTTGTGTAATTTTTTTCGATGAGAATTTTATTCTGCGAAATAACAGTTTTGAGTCATCTATCTAAACAAGATGAAAGGTTAAGGAAGCAATTCCGGTTCTTTGGTCGTTTACGTTGTTATGGTGGCTTGTCGGTTCGAAGGTCACTTTTTGTCGATAATCTGTATAAAGCACGAGCATTTCCTTCATAAATCTGACAATTAGAACGTCATTACAGCAGTGATCTGTTCTACACTTTGAGTCCATTCGACCGCGTTTTGCGCAGAAAATGTTAGAGAAGCTCAGCTTTTTTACCTGCAGAGATAGATTGTGATATGCCTCGCACGTGCTACAAATGGCGCTCATACATGACGCACTCAATACTGTACCAACCTTCAGGTTGACCTTGAGTGTATCTCAGATGCGATAAAACCGAGAAAAAATGAATCAAATCAAAGTTAGAGGCCCATTAGCGAGTAAATTATCTGAATTAGCCCGATGATCTATCCAGTAAAATTACGCGCTTCAGTAACAACCCTGGTACGTGCTAAAGTTGGAGTGAAACCTAAATCCTGTCATTCAGAAGGAAAACAAAAGTGACAAGTCCAGTGGGCGAGTGAGGGGGAGTGTTACACAATCACATTCCATCGAAAAAAAATCAATATTTAAGGAGCCTCGTGTATCAGCGGACAATAAACCGATTCGTGCTCTCTGCCACAAGAAGCGTAACTGGTAGTAGTAGTACTATTAAAACCGAACGTGTCGCACTGCCAAAATGGAAGTTGATAACAACGTTTCGGAGAAGTTCACTTGGCTTCGAGTCAGAAAGAAAATTGGAAGATTTGGAGTAAATATTCGAATTAACCCCATCGTCACTTTCATCTCAGCCGCAATTATTTGGGGCTTCGTGATATTTTGCGCGGTCAAAGCAGATCTCGCTTACAAAGAATTGACGAAGTCCATGATATGGATCACCGACACCTGCACCTGGATGTACATTGGTACCCAAGATGTATGGGCTGTGTTTATTATAGTCCTGTATTTCTCGAAATACGGGAAAATGAAGCTGGGAAAACCTGATGACAAACCGGATTTCAGCGACGCATCCTACTTCACGATGCTGTTCGCCGCTGGAATAGGCGTCGGTTTGTTTTTCTTCGGAGTTGGTATGTACCGGTTTTTAGCTTGTATAAAACCAGTCTAATGGGACAAACGCACTACCGCGCTCGTCAAAATCTATATTTGCCTTGTCTGTAAGGCAACACATGCTTTTTTTCCTTATGTAAGAACATACCCGTTTTTCCGTAGCAATTTTGTTATTTAAAATTGGTGGTTGCTCGATTAGTAGATTATGATAGCCCGACTTGTCACTGTTTTTTCTCACCAATCACAAAATTGTGTTATAGACGTTTATAAAAGATTTTGGAAAATTTTCAGGCGTATTTTTCAGTATGAAAAATGTTTCCTTTACCTAATGATTCTACATATTTTCGTAGTTAGACAGACTTAAAAGGGTTATAATTTACTATGGAGAAAATAGATGTCAATCATTCCAGTGATTTCCCGGCAGTTTCGTGAGTTGATCCGCTTTCGTTAGCTTGTAATGTTTCGGCGCGTTTATAATTGGTCTATATCTTAAAACCTGCCATACCTGTGTTTTTTTACTTCAATCAAACCCGTGATCAGCGAGGGGTCTGTGCAATTAGATACCAACATATTCACAGATTTCAAATTCCTGTTTTTCCTGTAGGGCTGCGCTCTTGTTGGAGATTGCGTCAAAGCATCTTGCTACGCCGAGAGAGTTTACTTGACGATAAAAGCATTCCATAACTGAAAAGAGATATGTTCTATTGTATTTTTTCCATTTAACTGGATCGAAAATGAAAGAAATCGAAAATGCCCCTACTTTTCACTTATCGACACGTCATCGCCGTAAAACTACGCACGCGATGTTTCTCATGAACATCTGTGTCATCAGATACCGAAAACGTGAATAATATGTAATTTCTTTGCTCCAGACATTGGAACTTGGACACTTATTTGAGACTGAATTTGTAACATATCCATCAAAAACTGATGTTCGGTTCTATCAAGCCAAGGAGCGAGGCTTTGAACGAACCTTTTTTTGTTTTGTTTTAAACCATTTGGCATTTGTCTCAAAAGCACATAATTGACAGAACCTGTACAGACCTGTTCACGAACACCCAGACATCTTTGAAAGATTTGAAGCAAATCTGTGTTATAGCTAAATACGATTACTATTTTGAGGTCCTCTTCAGACGGAAATTCTTCCGTTGATCGCGCTAATCACGCAAACAAGATTCAAGTCACGCAAATTATGAGCTTTGATAAACAACTCAGAGTCGGTAACATAAAGCGAACATTTTGAACCAAACTGACCTTGGCCAATTTGGAAGGGTTTAACGTTTCTTTTGACCGGCCTTACGAACGAGAAGGTTGAGTTTAAACACTTAGATTAGCAAATAAATCAAGTTTTACAGTAGCATTTATTACGAATTGGATGGTAGAAGTATTTACGCTTCCCTTTCTTGCTTGTCCGGAATGTACCTAATTCCTCTCCCCTCCCCCAAGGCTCTGTGATGTTTTTTTGATCCTCGCTCTTTGGTAGTTAGTTGGCGGTCAATTTTCTGTAGTTCCCCCTTTATCCTTGCAACGACTAATCCCCACTCCGATCCATTGAAAACCATATGCTTTCCCCAAAAATCATCAACCCACCATTTATTAAATAATGACTAGCCCCTAATCAACTCGGATCACGCTTCGTTGTAGTTTCATACCGCTACCTCCACCCAAACGCCTTTTATAAACAAATTCTCATATTTGAAAAAAAATATTCGCGAAAACGCTGTTTATATTTGCGCTGACTATGCTTTTTCTAGATGATAAGCAAATGGCAAGAAATCTAAGGCAGGATATTTCACAAGAAAGGTGCATTTGCTGCATCTTAAATGTTCCGAATGATCTACCATACCACAGTTAAACTGAATCATAGAATCAAAATTCCTTTATCAATCGATGGCGCGCCCTTATAATTTAAGAGGAGCGCAGATACTTAAGAGAGGGAAGGAAGGAGCTAGAAAAAGGGGGAGGAATGGGGTGAGAGATTTGATATACTCAGAACATTCTTCATAACCAAGGAAGATACCTCTTTTTTCGTAAACTTTGCCCCGTTTACCAGTGATAGAATCCTAGCGAACTAGACTTAATCCATAGACTCGATTAAGCTAAACTGCTTAATTCTACTCTCGTATTCACTCAGTTACAACAGGTGTGTAAAGAGCTACTCTGAATAACTTGTAACGAAATCACTCTCTTATACTACATTCTCCACATTGTGATTGGTTGTTGCTAAGTACTGTTATAAAAGGTTATTCAAGGTTGCGTCGATCATGCACACCGATCAATGTCCCAAAATCACGAAAGGCGTTGCTTCTAGCTCTTGATATCAAATGACAGTCTCTTTCACTAAAAAATTGTCTCTCTTGATGTAATGTTTATACTTGTTATCTGATATGTGTCACGCAATAAACATAAAGTCTCCGACACTTTTTAGTAAAATAATTATTTGTGATGGTTGGATGTGGAGGAACGGCTATATACAAGCTAGAGGTTATAGTCTCGCTATAGGTTATAGACGCAAGTATCGACAAGTAGCTTGACTGTTACCTCGAGTAAGGGAAGGGAAAGACCTGAGGTGAGGTGGAAGGGAAGGGCTCACAATATTCTTAACCCATGTTTTTTCTCTTCTCAGCCGAACCTGTGTGGCACTATTCCGACACTAAAAACCGTTACTATCGCAGGTAATACTTCATAACAACAAAATATGCACGATTAGTAATTTGAAAAAGGGATTTAATTACATCCTGAAACAATACAGGTGGAGGCGTGGTGGCCTCATGGTTAGTGCGCTCGACTCCGGATCGAGTGGTCCGTGTTCGAGCCCTGGCCGTGGTCATTGTGTTGTGTTCTTAGGCAAGACACTTTACTCTTACAGTGCTTCTCTTCACCCAGGTGTACAAATGGGTACCAGCAAATATGCTGGGGGTAACCCTGCGATGGACTAGCATCCCATCCAGTGGGGAGTAATGAAACCGGAGTTAAGCGCCGGCCCCATGGGCCACTTGGGCCTGTATAAAAGACTTTGAAACAATACATCAAATGTGGTCTTTACTCTGTAAGTAAGGCCAGCAACGAGCTCAAAAAGCGTTTCATGTTTTATGCTGTTGGTTTTCAATGATCATTAACTTATTTGTTAATAGTAACTATTAATATCACCGATAATTTTTAGGTACAATGACAATCAGCGAGCTCAGGACGCCATGAATGTTACTTTGTTTCACTGGGGTATTCACGGCTGGATCGTGTACGTCATTGTCGGCCTACTACTTGCATTTGTTGGGTTCAGGCAGGGTCTTCCCATGACCGTGCGTTCTTGTTTCTATCCCCTCATCGGCAAAAAGATCTTTGGCTGGATGGGTGACGCAGTAGACATACTTTCCGTGGTCTGCACCATGTTCGGCGTCTGCACCAGCCTCGGACTGGGTGTTATACAGATGAATACTGGCTTTAACCGTCTTTGGAACCAGATTGAAGTCACAACCAGTAATCAAATCATCATTATCTGGTGTGTCACTGCATGTGCCACAGCCTCAGTGGTTAGCGGTCTGAAAGTTGGAATTCGCCGCCTTAGCGAGATCTGCTTCATCCTGGGAATGTTCCTTATGCTTGTTACATTCTTCTTTCAGGACACCTGGCATATACTCAACGTTTACGTTCAAAGTGTTGGCTACTACATGCAGTGGATCATTCAGCTCGGCTTTCATACAGATGCGTTCGCACAACTAAATAATGCGCCGGATGGCAAGTCCAACCCAGACTGGATGGGAACTTGGACCATTTTCTACTGGGGATGGTGGATCGCCTGGTCCCCTTTTGTGGGAATGTTCATCGCCAAGATTTCAAGAGGAAGAACCATTAGGCAGTTTATCAACGCCACAATGACGGCTCCAATAATTTATTCGTTCCTCTGGTTTTGCATTTTTGGCAGCGCGGGTTTGAAAATGGAACGAGATGCTGAATCTCGCAACATCACTAACGCCACTGGGAAGTTCGTTCGGCTTTCATCTCGAAAAACAGAAGAAATGTGGTTTGATGTTATGGACCAACACGGTGACCTGGGGATGTTCCTATCAATAGTTTCACTTGTAAGCATTGTCCTTTACTTCGTAACAAGCTCCGATAGCGGTTCCCTGGTGATCGACTGTCTCTCAGCAAATGGCGAAGAAGAACCACCCGTCATTCAGCGCGTTTTCTGGGCTTTAACAGAAGGTGCCTGTGCTACAGCCCTGCTATACTCTGGTGGAACTAACGGGCTGAAAGCTCTACAAGCAGTGTCCATAGCATCTGGCGTCCCTTACACTATTATGCTATGTTTCATGTGCGTGGCTTTATGGAGAGCAGTTAAAATAGAAGCTGGAGACTTAGATCCCCACGGCCCACACTTTTCAACTGGTCTCCTGGACGTTCTGATTGAACCCACCATGTCAAGCGTCCAAAAGGTTTTAATTGCAATCGTAGCACCATGGTATTCCATGGGGAAAGCTGCCTCTAAGATCGCTAGTAGAGAAGACCGAAAATATGTTTATATGCTGGCCCTGGCTGTTCCCTTTTATCTCTGGATTATTTGCATGGCTCTTGAGCCAGCGATAGAGGGAATTTCTTACATTGGATGGACAATCTTGATTGGATTCTTCGCTTATGGCACAGCTATCCGTTACTCCATTCGAGAAAAGTACGCCATCTATGGTAACATGACTGAAGACTTCTTTGCAGTAACGCTGACCTACTTCTTTGCGGCATACCAGATGGAGCGTCACATGGACGACGTTGAACACTTTGACAAAGAAAGCACAAACCTGAGTGGAGGAGTCAGCCAAGACATCATGCTCTCCGAGGTTCATATCAACAGGATGACCGAAGACGATGACGTGACCAAACCAAAGATATCTGATTCTAAAACAAATGGCTTTGGCTCAAATGGCCATGTTAATGGTGGTGCTGGTGATAACCATCACATGCCCACAGAAAGCCAAGACAAAAGTTTTGATGAGGCATTTTAAAAAGAACAAGAGAACAATCCGAACAGGAAATCACTCAGATGAAATCAGTGCAGAACTGTTTCAGACGAAACCAACAGAACTCTACTACCTTTATTATCTTAAATATATATCAAAACGGATTTCTTTCTACGTTGTAAAGATCGTGTGCGCCATTTTAAGTTTGTTAGAGGGTTAGCATAAGCGGGAGTCATTTCGGGTGAGACATTCCGATACAGAAAATTTTTGATGAAGCGTAAAGCAAGTGAAGAAGTTTACCTGTTTTTAGCTACGAGGATACCACTTTCACAAGTGCCTTTATTACCAAGGAAGCAATGACTCGGTTTACACCACAAATATTATTTTATAAAATAATCTTCACAAAGCCTTCCTTGAACCTACCTGTTTTTTTTTGTTGTTTTATTTTTGAAGGGAAACGGGTTTCATGAGAACCCAGACTATAACTAGAATTGGGTCCAATGCAAACATACAATTAGATAATTTACTGCACTTTTCAATAACATGCGAACTATGAGGTTGTGATCGTATCACTAAAAATGCGTTTAACCCCCTCCAGCCGCCTAAGGCCCACCTAAAAAGCAGTTGCTCCTACGGGTCAAGTTCCCGAGTTGTGATAGGGATATTTTCAGATCCATTTTTCATGGGTCTGCTCTAAAGGAGCTGTTACGTTAATTATCTGTGATATATGGCAATGCAACACGAAATCTGAACCTCGGAGTTCGCATGTTTTATAAAGACTCTTTATATTAAGGTCATGGATATAATCAATTATTTAATGAGGCTAAATGCAAATATAAGTTTATCAACGTTGCTAATTTATTTAGAAATCACTGGGAAGTTATTTTTTTCATAGAATTTTGCATGTGTTATGACAGATGGGGCTTGTTAAAAGAGCTTTGCTAAGATGTTAGAACTCTTTCTAGCTTTTGCTTTCAACGTAAAATCGTGATCATCAGTTTACAACATTATTTATACATGACGAAGATTATTCGAGGCATTGTAAATGTCATTGTAAAGCATGAGAAAACTTTTCTATTAAGATATGCCAAGAAACGCTCAATTTGATAATAAACATGTAACTTTGCTTTGAAATCAAATGAATGCTTACAGCTATTGTGCGCCAAAAGGGGAAATGTGTATGTGACTAAATCTGATAGGCAGTAGTCAAAAAGTGAGAAAGGGGTAAATTTCTGAAGAAGCTGTGCTACTGCATCAGTGTGGGGTACTACAAGACAATTTGGTTCAGTCAACTGAGTTGATAATTCCGGTAGCCACCGTCAAGAGTTTCTAAAGCCGACGTTTCGAGCGTTAGTTCTTCGCCATTCACTCCTACAATCAAAGGGTTAACGCTCTAATTGTCAGCTGTAGAAACTCTTTTCAGTAGCCAATAAATTATCAACTCAGTTTGCAAAAGAAAACATTCAAAAAGTAAAGTTTTTTGTATTTGTTGAGCGATCGAGCATTATTCGTATTACTTTGCCTCTTCCTCCCGCAAACCCCCTTACCCTTCGAGACCAACTGTCGAGTGCGGCATTATTTCCACTAGTTCCACAGGTTTTTCCTCATTTGTTAAATTAAATACGAATCGTGATGCGGTTTTTATTGGTACTGTAGATGGCAGCGCTATTGACAAACCAGCGCCTTGAATTCGGAAGTGCTAAAACTTTTAAATGGGGACACAAAATCGTTGCTTAGGCCTGCAACGACTTATAAAGATCCAATGTAATGTTGTAAAATATATGATAGCAAAAGGGATCTCAAAGATTTTCAGCAGAATACATGGTTCAACTAGATGAGACTTGCGTGAGGATGTTTGCCCTCACATTAGCTCTGAACAGGGTCTACAATGATAAGATAATAATAGAAATAAATATTAATAATAAAAAAAATTTTATCAATGTGAATTTTCACTGTTAAGATTTTTCTTACACACTGACGATGTTTTCTCTTCCTGAACAAAAGGAAACAAAAGTAAATTAAATAACGTAGATTTAAAATTTGTGTAAAAATAAATGAATAGATGAATATCTAAAAATATTCCCTTTAATTTTTGTGTATATAAATCCACTTATAATATATCTTGGGTCTAAAACATTTTGACGTTTTGGAAAGCATCTCTTTAAGAGATATCGAACATTTTTGACCAAATTACTATTGAATACAACTAGGTGTGAACAAAGGGCTACTGTAAATGTTCAACCGGTTAAGCTAACATTACCGATTTGCAAAAATAGAAAATGAAGGAAAAAGAAAAAGCCCCAGACAGCGAAATACATACTGCGAACATCCTTACACTTGGAGAGTTATGTAAGGATGGAAAAGGTTTAATTTTACGGAGAGGGAAGGTAAGGTGAGATTTGAAGGTTTCTCTTCTAAATTTGTGACCAGTGAAATACTGTTTAAAGTACGAGTGAATCGTAAGTTTTCTAAAATTCATGCATAGAACGGGATCACAATCCCCCCTTTATATAATAAAAATAAAACATTTATAGAACGCCAAAACTATGCACATATTGAAAAGCGCTTTCATTAAATTGAAAACTATAAATTAATACTGAACGCTTTCCTAAAAAGACATGTTTTGAGTTGTTTCTTAAAAGTAGCTAGGCTGCTACAGGATCTGATTGATAACCGCAACAAGTTCCATACGGCAGGAACAGCACGAGCAAAAGTACGATCCCCAAGTGTGGAGCAGTTGACCAGTGGAACGAATAGATGAGATTGTGTGGACGAGCGAAGCGTATAGTTAGAGGCAGGTTTAAAAGATAAAAGATCTTTAATGTAGGGCGGCGGCTTAGATTGTTTAATGACTTTTAAACAAAAAGAAGCAGCTTAAATACAGAAAGCCAGTATAGGTCGAAGAGAGCCAATGTGATGTGGTCAGATTTCGTAAACTGGAAAATCACCCAAGCTGTGGCGTTCTGAATATTCTGTAAACGATCCCTCCTCCCTTGCATTTTAAAATCATGCTGAACGAAACACTTGAATTATTAATGAATTCTTGTGAGTCAGCAAATGTTATCAAAACAACGATAACACTTCCGTTTCACCTGTTAAATGTCTACGTGCTCACTCTAAACGACTTTTAATTTATTTATTTCATTCAGAGACATTCGCATTTCAAGCTAACTACTATACGAAAAAGAATTCAGTCTTTCCTCAAATATAAAATTTATATCTTTATTCCAAAAACCATTGATATTACTCTCAATATTCATAGTTAATTCAAATAATATATATATCTTTTCAATTTAACTTACTCAATTGAAACGTTGGATGTTTAATTTTGACCAAATCTTTTTGTTTATTGTAGAAACTGCTTAGAATACTGCTCGAGCTAGTTTTATGAATACAAGAAACTTCTTGCTTCGGTGTGAATTGGTATATGTCCATCTTACGTCTTAAAAAACACCTGCCGCCATAAAACGTGACGAGTGTAATTAACTCAATGACAGATTGTAACCACACATATATTATTGAGGTGTTCATGAGGCGGATTAATTTCACCCCTTTTCCCAAATGTATAGTTATTCCTTTTTAGACTGCTTTTTGGGGGTAATATTAATTTTCAACCACTTCTAAAAAGTCTGAAAATTATAGTCCATTACTATAAGTAGTTGTTCAAAGCTAGGTTAAGATAACCTAGGGTTTAGCGTGAAATCTGACCTCAGATCTGAAAGCTTTAAAAGAATATTCAGCATATTTATTTTTGCCTACAATTTGATGTCTGAATGTTCTAAAAGGAATTGAAGAAATTATGTGAAATAGGCCTTTGAAAAAGGGAATAAAGAAACCCAGGCTAAAACTTTACCCCGGGTTAGCGCTAATCGGCCTTCGAACAACTGGGCCTTGCTGTCTGATGACATTGAAGAAAGATACGGTGTTGTTTTCCAGCTTAAGAGGAATAAAATAATAAGCATGACAAATCAAGAGTTTAAACTTGGAAATAATAGGGGCTGAAGAATAAAGTGGATTTTTATTTCAGGATTCAAACGAATTCAATATGTCAAGGGAGCTAAATTACTGAATAAACTTCATTGCCATTTTTCATTGCAGGTTCTCAATTGATGTATTGTGTACGTGACCTGTTTCACCAAACAAAATTTCATCAGGATGTTTTATTTATTGTTTTACTCTCAGTTTGCCAAAAGTTGCATAATTCAACGTGAAGAGTACAGATCACTTTCATTCCAAGGTGAGGTCAGTAGCTGCCTCTGAAAATGGAGTTTAGACTCTCAAAACTTTCCAGGAGCTATTTTAGTATACTGATGATAATCGTTTACTTGGCAAATGCATCTGTAGGTACGTTAAATGTATTAATATCAGTAGTATGGTAAATTTTAGGTTCGATGAAAAAAATTCTTGTCACGAGAGAGGAAGATGGAAAAAATGATGAGGTTTTACAAGGAATCGAATCTTAAACTTTTGGAATTCCGCGCTACTTCTATCTTCTTTTTTTCTCTCACATGATGCTTTCAACGCTGCTGATCCTAAAGATATGCAGGAAGTGTGTCCCGTTTGAACTCAGAAATGACCTAACACCTCGCAGAGTCTCTGTAGCTAAGTGGTTGAGCGTCCCAGCGCGGAATGCGAAGGTCTGAGCATGATTCTTTACTTTGTTCCAAGCTCGTAACAAGTTGCTGGCAATCACAATAGTTTTAAAATAGCCACTTATAGTTTTAACCCCTTCATTTCGCTCTTCATCCCATGCAGGAACAAGATTCATCGATGCACGCAATAAAACTCTAAGCCGAGGCACTGACAGAGGAATGGCTTATGCCAAGTTTAAGCCTCATCAGTTTTCCTATCTCAACATCGCCAGCATTGGTTCAGATTACGTTCTGCAAGGCAGTGACTGTGGGCTCGTCTGTGTCAACATACCATCATGTTTCTCTTTTAACTTGGGTGCATTTCGCAATGTAATTGGTAAAGTGATCTGTGAATTGCTTCCGTCGGACATATACAACAACTCAGAGAAGTTTGTCCTCAGTCAAAGTCATCATCACTACAGTATCGCGGTGAGTGGGAATTCGTAAAGAATAATATTTCCAATTGCAATCGGTGGTTGGATTAGGCAACATAGACAACTTTATAGGGAATTTGTTTTTGTTTTCTCTCTTTCTGTTTAGTCACCTTGCATCAGTTGGCCTTGTAAGAACAAAGGGACATGCGCTGCACAATACCAAGAGAATAGTTACGTATGCGTTTGCGCAAAAGGATACGCAGGGAAACACTGTGAATTGGGTAAGGAAGTATAAACTATAGCATTATGCAGTTCACACAAATGATTTTCATATGTCCATAGTCATTATTCATCACTTCACGGGTTTATTACAAATTAACATAATGGTCATGGGTTCAAAACTCGTACAGCCCTGAATTTTTTTTTTCAGAGCTTTTTTTACTACTGCTTAAGTAGTGTTCATAATTGCGAAGATCGCTTTCATAATTCATATTCAGTATTGCATGAGCTTATAAGTTATAGTGCTTCACGCTTTACTAACGAAGTAACTTTTCTCATACGGATGAAATGCGTGGATTTATGGAAAAACATCCGCAGGTAAACTTGGGTCTAAGCGCTGAATCGATTTATTTGAGCGTTGATAGACCAGTTTATTAGTTTAGCACTGATAGTTTCCTGTCACTCAATTGTATTAAATAAGTGGTCTTGGTAATTGAAATGTGTTTTTGCTCCTTCGAAAATCAAGTGCTCATTTTGTTCATTCGAGGCCATGTTCACCATTCTCTTTCTGCAAAGTGAATTCAAACTAATGGTAAAATGCATGATATGCATGAAAATAACCTCCACATCCAACTATTATGTCACGCTTGGGGTATGAATAAGTTTTTACTTCTGAGAGTCGAGCTTGAGAGAATAACAATGTCTCGAAGGGTCAAATCCCCTAAACTAAGATGGCTGACGTAAAAAAAGAAAGAGAATATTTAATAAATACGACAAGAAGCAGTATATTCGTAAAAAGAGCTGATATCTTGGCAGTGCAAGAAGACATGATTGACTAGTCGTAGCCTTGAATCATTTTGATACCAGAATGCAATTTTGAAGTAAAGAAGTGAGGTATTGAAACGGGCTGTCTTCACGTCATAGACTCGGAAATCGCCCTTAAATTTGCCTTTATTTGACTGACTCATATTCACAGGCCCAGGTTAAACGTCCAATATCAAAAATAAAAGAATGTAATTTAATTAATGGAATACTTATTTGCCAGATGTCAATGAATGTAGTTCCTCTTATCCGGTTTGTGACGTAAACGCGAATTGCCACAATACTTTTGGCTCCTACGGCTGTTCTTGCAAAACTGGATTTGATGGGGATGGGAAAACATGTGCAGGTAAACTTGGGTCAAATTACTAACTCAAACTAAATTTATTGAATATATCTATGACTAGACTATCTGAAGAGCATCTAATAGCCTTTCTCCCACCTTAAGGTGATTCCTCACAAAAAAAGTTATCAAACAACTTTTTAAAACTTTCCTTAAATTTTTCATACCGATGTCTGTTTCTAAAACTGCAATAAAAGAGATTGATCACCGTGCTCACTTAAGAGATATGATTGACCAGTTATGCGCCATTTATGCCTGTACTGGTACTTATAACGCGTGTCATTTCATCGGTTCACGGTACAGTTTTTTCGGTACCTGAAAGCAAAGGTTTTAAGTGAAGGTTGAAAGAATACCTGATAATTAAAATGTCTCGAGCGTTAAAGCAAAAGGTAACGTACAATACCGTGTTCTTGGAATGCGCGCACGCCTATTGGCCTGATTACGTGATTTTTATGCGCAGAAAAGGATAGCGGTGCGATACTGAGGAATCACCTTAAAGAATTGTTTACCATCATTAAAATGGTTTAGTTAGATCCTCTCGCTCAGATGAACCGCTCTATTATTCTATCTCACAAATTCTGGATCCACTCCATTTTATACTGCTAATATCCAAATTAAAAGTGGTGAATTGATCGAGTATTTTTTCGTCAGATGTTAACGAGTGCGGTGCCTCCTTTCGAGTTTGTGATGTCAAAGCCAACTGCTATAACACTTATGGCTCCTACAGTTGTTCCTGTTTAACTGGATATATCGGAAATGGGAAAAAGTGCACAGGTAAAACTATACTAAACCAACCTTATAGTTAACAACTATTCACCGAAGTGGAGGTGAATAGTGATAGATATTTACCGAGCCGCGGTCGGAAGATTTGATCGTATCACGATAAAAATTTTACCTGATCCCTGAAGGCTTTGTTAGATGTTTATTTATGATTTTCTCTCATTAGAAGTTAACTGGCAGCTTTCAGGCCAATCATTTCCAAATTTAGGAATGCGGGATAGCCTTGTATAGGACATTGGGTGAAAAACACTGAGCACCAGTCGCTTTCTCATTCAGTCATCCACCCGCTCTCTCCACGGCTATTCTTTCAGCTTCCTTTATCATCCAATACCTCTGCATACTCTGAAACTCGCCAATAAAAGCTCTTCGTTAACTTAATTTTTCCATTTAATGTCAAATGAATGGCAATGTTGACTGAGACTAGTTTTAAAAGGAGTTGTAGGGTGGGAATGTGCACCTTACCAGAACCTATCATTGCAATACTAGATTGCAATGCACGAAATTGTTCAATCTTTAATGACGCCTATACCGTTGATTGTGCTTTTTTTATTCAGATATTGACGAGTGTAGTTCTTCAAATGGATGTGATGTCAATGCCCATTGCCATAATAATCCCGGCTCGTACAGCTGTTCCTGTAAAATTGGATTTGATGGGGATGGGAAGACATGTGCAGGTAAACTTGGGTCAAATTACTAACTCAAACTAAATTTATTGAATATATCTATGACTAGACAATCTGAAGAGCATCCAATAGCCTTTCTCCCACCTTAAGGTGATTCCTCACAAAAAAAGTTATCAAACAACTTTTTAAAATTTTTTCTTAAATTTTCCATACCGATGTCCGTTTCTAAAACTGCAATAAAAGAGATTGATCACCGTGCTCACTTAAGAGATATGATTGACCAGTTATGCGCCATTTATGCCTGTACTGGTACTTATAACGCGCGTCATTTCATCGGTTCACGGTACAGTTTTCGGTACCTGAAAGCAAAGGTTTTAAGTAAAAGTTGAAAGAATACCTGATAAGTAAAAAGTCTCGAGCGTTAAAAGCAAAAGGTAACGTACAATACCGTGTTCTTGGAATGCGCGCACGCCTATTAGCCTGATTACGTGATTTTTATGCACAGAAAAGGATAGCGGTGCGATACTGAGGAATCACCTTAAAGAATTGTTTACCATCATTAAAATGGTTTAGTTAGATCCTCTCGCTCAGATGAACCGCTCTATTATTCTATCTCACAAATTCTGGATCCACTCCATTTTATACTGCTAATATCCAAATTAAAAGTGGTGAATTGATCGAGTATTTTTTCGTCAGATGTTAACGAGTGCGGTGCCTCCTTTCGAGTTTGTGATGTCAAAGCCAACTGCTATAACACTTATGGCTCCTACAGTTGTTCCTGTTTAACTGGATATATCGGAAATGGGAAAAAGTGCACAGGTAAAACTATACTAAACCAACCTTATAGTTAACAACTATTCACCGAAGTGGAGGTGAATAGTGATAGATATTTACCGAGCCGCGGTCGGAAGATTTGATCGTATCACGATAAAAATTTTACCTGATCCCTGAAGGCTTTGTTAGATGTTTATTTATGATTTTCTCTCATTAGAAGTTAACTGGCAGCTTTCAGGCCAATCATTTCCAAATTTAGGAATGCGGGATAGCCTTGTATAGGACATTGGGTGAAAAACACTGAGCACCAGTCGCTTTCTCATTCAGTCATCCACCCGCTCTCTCCACGGCTATTCTTTCAGCTTCCTTTATCATCCAATACCTCTGCATACTCTGAAACTCGCCAATAAAAGCTCTTCGTTAACTTAATTTTTCCATTTAATGTCAAATGAATGGCAATGTTGACTGAGACTAGTTTTTAAAGGAGTTGTAGGGTGGGAATGTGCACCTTACCAGAACCTATCATTGCAATACTAGATTGCAATGCACGAAATTGTTCAATCTTTAATGACGCCTATACCGTTGATTGTGCTTTTTTTATTCAGATATTGACGAGTGTAGTTCTTCAAATGGATGTGATGTCAATGCCCATTGCCATAATAATCCCGGCTCGTACAGCTGTTCCTGTAAAATTGGATTTGATGGGGATGGGAAGACACGTGCAGGTAAACTTGGGTCAAATTACTAACTCAAACTAAATTTATTGAATATATCTATGACTAGACAATCTGAAGAGCATCCAATAGCCTTTCTCCCACCTTAAGGTGATTCCTCACAAAAAAAGTTATCAAACAACTTTTTAAAATTTTTTCTTAAATTTTCCATACCGATGTCCGTTTCTAAAACTGCAATAAAAGAGATTGATCACCGTGCTCACTTAAGAGATATGATTGACCAGTTATGCGCCATTTATGCCTGTACTGGTACTTATAACGCGCGTCATTTCATCGGTTCACGGTACAGTTTTCGGTACCTGAAAGCAAAGGTTTTAAGTAAAAGTTGAAAGAATACCTGATAAGTAAAAAGTCTCGAGCGTTAAAAGCAAAAGGTAACGTACAATACCGTGTTCTCGGAATGCGCGCACGCCTATTAGCCTGATTACGTGATTTTTATGCACAGAAAAGGATAGCGGTGCGATACTGAGGAATCACCTTAAAGAATTGTTTACCATCATTAAAATGGTTTAGTTAGATCCTCTCGCTCAGATGAACCGCTCTATTATTCTATCTCACAAATTCTGGATCCACTCCATTTTATACTGCTAATATCCAAATTAAAAGTGGTGAATTGATCGAGTATTTTTTTTTCGTCAGATGTTAACGAGTGCGGTGCCTCCTTTCGAGTTTGTGATGTCAAAGCCAACTGCTATAACACTTATGGCTCCTACAGTTGTTCCTGTTTAACTGGATATATCGGAAATGGGAAAAAGTGCACAGGTAAAACTATACTAAACCAACCTTATAGTTAACAACTATTCACCGAAGTGGAGGTGAATAGTGATAGATATTTACCGAGCCGCGGTCGGAAGATTTGATCGTATCACGATAAAAATTTTATCTGATCCCTGAAGGCTTTGTTAGATGTTTATTTATGATTTTCTCTCATTAGAAGTTAACTGACAGCTTTCAGGCCAATCATTTCCAAATTTAGGAATGCGGGATAGCCTTGTATAGGACATTGGGTGAAAAACACTGAGCACCAGTCGCTTTCTCATTCAGTCATCCACCCGCTCTCTCCACGGCTATTCTTTCAGCTTCCTTTCCTATCCAATACCTCTGCATACTCTGAATCTCGCCAATAAAAGCTCTCCGCTAACTTAATTTTTCCATTTAATGTCAAATGAATGGCAATGTTGACTGAGACTAGTTTTTAAAGGAGGGGAATGTGCACCTTACCAGAACCTATCATTGCAATACTAGATTGCAATGCACGAAATTGTTCAATCTTTAATGACGCCTATACCGTTGATTGCGCTTTTTTTATTCAGATATTGACGAGTGTAGTTCTTCAAATGGATGTGATGTTAATGCCCATTGCCATAATAATCCCGGCTCGTACAGCTGTTCCTGCAAATCTGGATTCATTGGCAATGGAAAATCTTGCAAACGTGAGATATATGTTTAATAATCCAGTCACCCATCCTTTCAGCTTCCCCTCAGTTATCTTATGTCAGTCGATTTATTTGAAAAAACAATACCACAAGCCATACTAGAAGCAAAGATAGTGGTCCCTTGAAGAAACTCATTCATCCAATACCATGACAGACATACTTTATCGTGAATAGGAAAAAATATATTTGACGGTTGCCATATGTTTCTTCTTATATAATCAACCCTGATGGCTCTAGTGACTTTCATGTTTACTGTGACCACACAACCTCTGGCGGGGGTTGGACTGTGTTCCAGAAGAGACTGGATGGCTCTGTCAGCTTCTATCGCGACTGGAGCAGTTACAAATATGGCTTTGGTTACACAAGTAGCGAGTTTTGGCTCGGACTGGAAAATATACGCCGTTTGACCAGCAGCGAGGACTACGAGCTTCGTATTGATATGGAGGATTTTACTGGGACTACTGTTTATGCTGAATACACTTTGTTTGAAGTTGGGAGTGAGGGATCTAATTACAAGTTAAACCTTGGAAGCTACTCAGGTAACTTTGCTCTCAATACTTCTTATCTCATTTCACTGCTAGTAAAACAAAGCCAAGGTTAACGAGGAACCAGTCATTCTTTGTCGCCTTGGGAGGGGGTATTTATTTACGGAGTGTAACACTAAATAGTTACAAACTAATGAAATTGTGGCCCTCTTTAAGGTAAAATGAACATGATATATAACCATAAACATAGCATTTAAAAACTCTAATTGAAAGCAGGCAGACTAACTGGATCTATACAAAGCGCTGTCAAGGATTTGAACTGGGGGCAATCGAGAGCAAATCCAGAGAGTAGCTGGGTGCAGGGCTTGGACCCAGGATCCCTATAAGACCAGCGCCCTAGCGCATCCTCTTGAATTCCTTTAAATATAGGGACTGTTTGATAAACTTCCTTAGGAAGTGCTAACAGCATAATCGCGATCTTTCGATGATATGGATTTTGATTTGATCAGGAACTGCGGGAGACTCGTTTTCTTATCACGATGGTTATCCATTCACAACAAAAGACCGAGACAATGATTCAAAAGGGAAAGGAATTAACTGCGGTAAGGTTTGTACAGGAGGCTGGTGGTACAAACACTGTTGGACCAGTAATCTAAATGGTCATTATTACCAAGGATACTACCAAAAACCAGGCTCTTGGAACAACGGCGTTGCCTGGCACCACTGGAAAGGAAATGATTACTCACTAAAGAGAACTGAAATGAAGATTCGATCAGTAAACTTTTAGTTCTCTTTTTTGGCCTCCAAGTTTTTCGAGTTTCTTTCATTTTTTTTTTTTTTTTTTTTGGCAGAAAATTTTCGGCTTAAGGCTTAGATGAATAGACTTCGTCTCGAGGATTATTCAACAATATTCACATCGCCTTCAGTGAATAACTGTAAAGTACTCCTGTTATTGCTAAATATTCGCGTTAATCACCTCCCTGGTGGCTTTCGACAAAACGCGAGGCAGCCAATTAGAAATTTAGCGCCCCTGCCTTGCTGTTATCACTTCGCACGAGGTGATCATAGCGAGATGTGACGCAATCCTTGAGCGAGAATTTCTATAACCACCTGAGCAATTATACTAAAATGATTTAGTAGTAATAGCTTATCGTTTGTAATTTCAGCTTGGAGCGGTTAAGGTTTAGTTTTCTGAGGGGTGTCTAAAATAGAGTGTCTTTAATTATCTGTGTTAATGCATATGTGCTCATATAATGAGCTAAATTACTTACCCATTTTGATTGACTAAATTACTCACGCATTTTGATTGGCTAAATTACTCACGTATTTTGGTTGGCTAAATTACTCATGCATGATTGATTGGTTCTCATTTGTAATCTTTGGGAGGATAGACGCATATAAATGACGTCACCTTTAACGACACTTAGGTTTCTTGTAAACGTATTTTCTCGAATAAGCGTCTTTACTCGAATAGGCGCCCTTCCCCTTATAAGCGCTTACCTCCTAGGCCAAAATGCCAAGTAAGCGCCCCCTTCGAATAAGCGCCTCGTGCGCCACTTTTGTATTTTTACCACATTTTGACATCATTTTTGATGTTTCACTACTGAACAGACTTATGGCAAAATGGAATACATTTGTTTAACTTATACTTAAATATTGTGCTACGTTTTGAGCACGATTGTATCATATACCAGCGTTGCTGCTGCCTTAGTTTATATAATGGCAGTAACTGATACATTGAAAATATGTGAAGTTACTGTTTCCTTACTCGGAACTGATTAGATCAAGTGACCACCACAAACCGTATAATATTAAGCCAAGCTTTAATAATTATTCGATCTAAAAGAAATACATTTATAATTCGCAATTAGAACAAACGCAAATCAAGTCTTTATCTTGTAACTGAATTCAAAAACTTCAATATAAACTTACTTCTGTGGCGGGTCGTTACAACAGTCTCACTTTACGGGTTAGCAGATTCTCCAGGTAAGCGGATTTAGAGACAGAAAAACGATAACAAAATAACTTCTTTCTCACTTCGATTCTGCTGAAAAACTGACTTAAACATAATAATCTAACGCTTTTAAATCAATCTATTGAATTAATGTCAATCACGATTCTTGTCATCGAATAAATCTGTCAACACGAGGCAACGCCTATTTATTAAACGAAACAGTTACATTCGGAACGTTAATACAGTAAAATGGACTGATAAACGTTTTGTTTTCTTATCGCTGTTTGATTCATCATACCTTTTATTATTGTTTGACTCGGCACTATCTGTGTCGATTTGAATACGTGTACTATAATAAATCATAAGGGGATCCTGAAGATCTCTTGGTATACTGGTTTTTAGATATATTTTATGTACAACTTTAACACGTATGTACAACTTTATTACGTATTAAATGTCACGGGAAACTAGCTTTCGAGTACACCATGCTCAGCGAAAGTCACCAAGACTCTCAAACTGTCTCTTTCTTGTTTTTCTTTAATCAATCGGTTCTCCAATATAAAATTTTACTCACATCCAAGTTTACTTCATCCGTGTAACTCTGGTTAATCTCTTAGGCTCCAGTAACATTCTCACTGGATGCTTCTCACTGACTTGTGCTGCTAAGTCAACAACGGAATTCTGTCTCAATACTTCTGCACACTGTCGACATTCTTCCCTTCTCTCTCTTCATTAAGTAAACTCTAAAGAACATGCCTTTATATTTACTTATGACAGATATGGGAAGGCATGGCAACTGGCTGACCTTAGGGGATCAAACATTTGTTGTTAGAGCATTAAACCAAACAATTTCACGTGACTTTCGAAATGAACAACAAAGCACTTAATCATAATGCTTCCGATAAACTGAATCAACCGCTGGCGTGTGGGTCCAAAGCAAGGTCAGTAAAAAGTGACAAATTTTAACCGATAGTCGCAATAAAAGTAAAAAAAATTCTGGTGACAATGATCTAACTGTTAGCCGTAAAATGGCAAAAATTTTAACTGTTAGCTGTAAAAGCCATCACCACCAGCTGTCTTGGTAAATTAAAATTGTAGCCAGTACATAAATCTTTGAAATTTATGCCGTCTATCCGGTGAGAGGTTATCAATGACGGTGGGTTATCAAACCTACGAAGTTTTAGGGATGTTTGTAAATGTTCTCTTTAGTGCGTGCCAAATTAATCGTTGGAAGAGCAAACAACCTGAAAACCCCAACCCAAACTCCGGCGTGCAAAACCTGGAAAACTATGTCCAAGATCTCACATGACTTCCTTGAAGTTAAATGTTCAACCGAGTATCTCCAATCCCTCCAAAACAAGAGATTTCGTGGTCTGGACCAAAGTGCAAATAAATAGAACGCATGCCTTAGTTAGACAGTATCCATTTCTTTCGCATTAGACATTGGATGATATGAAAGGATTTAGTGTCTGACAGCACTGAAATGATATATTCCGCAAAATCCGCGAAAGGAGAATTTACCGAACAGGTAAGTAGTATTTAGTCGTTTCAAATATCAAATTTCAAGAGAGTAGATGTAATTCACGAGGGAGCATTCAAGGGAAGAGACTCCCAAAGCTGCATGTCACATAGAGGACCGACGAAGTCTCTACAGGATCTTAAAGAATTGATGATGCCCTTATCTTTTCAATGTAACCTGCCCAGACTGCAACAGTACTGTGAGGGCAGAGAAACGATCTTGGTTATGCCAAAAAAATAAATATCGTGATTACCGGAGAGCGAAACAGAAAGGGGTCTGTTTTTCAACCTCTGAAAGACGGCGCTGTTCATCAATAGAAAATGACATATTACTGGTTGGTTTTGGAAAAATCTTCAAACTATGTTTTTTTCATTTAGAAAGACAAATGTTTGAAGGTGGTTACATTTAATACTTTATTGATCAACTATCTTTGTTCAAAATAATACCATGTCTGTATCCCAGGCTCAGCTCTACTAACGCATTTACATCTCTGAGAGTTACATAACTGAACAAGATGAATGTTCTTTATAAGGGTCGTTTCCAGCTGGTTTATGAGGAGAGCCTTTTGCGCATGACAGTAGAAAGTCTTCGTTGGCATGTCGCTTGCAGTGGTACACCAGATCAGCACACACCTCGGACATCCTTGATCGTTTGATATCCTTTTCCTGTCGCAACTGTGCTATCTCCTTCCTCAGTGAAAGCTTCACCATGGAGTCACACGAGGCCATACCTGCATAAGATATTAATCAACTCAATGGTGGGGTGATGATTGGGTTGATCCTGCGCACGTATGGTACTAGCTTGCAATTCTGTTCTTGAAAATAATAAAGCTGTATTAAGAAGCATCAATTTAGATTGTGCAAGAGATTGTGCTGGCATTTTCACTTCATAACTCTAATTTCCGGCACTCTTTTCATCATCTGAGAGCTTTGTGGGCTCTGTTCAACCTATGTATTGAATGAGCAAGATGAAAGAGGAAAATACCTCGGCAGTCTTTGAGAGAGTTTGATAATCGTGCTCTGAAGATGAACCGTAATTATCTTGGTAATATTTTGTAAGAATTTTGAAATACGTCGGACGGAAATGGTTGTGAAATCTGTTTTCTTAACTTACACTGAACAAAAACAAGGCAGTTTTGACAAGAAGGATCCTTTGCGACCTTTCTTACACTTTCCCTTCATAACATTTTTATTGGCTCGACATACTGGAAAAATAATTCCTCCAAAAGATGACAAAACATTTTTTCGATGGTGAGGACTGAGAATTTGAAAAAATATCGAAGCTAGTGTATTCCCTAATAGATTATTCACACTATAATTACCGCCTGTGTTCTTGATAATCTGCAAAATGAAATGACGCGAACTTCATTATTCATCCTTCTGCCCTGAAGATCAGTGGGTATCAGCACAACCAACATGGGCTAGTCCAGATCGCACCAAAATTCGTTTTTATTCAAAATGGAAATTTTTGCTTGCTTATCATTCCTTGCCATCATAAATATTTTTCCATCTTTGAAAGATACAACACTGATTTTTTAGGACGCAGATCGTTGTGTTGATTCTAGTCATCTTTAGGGAAGGAATAAGGAAGTGTTCATTTCATCGTAATATTTTGTTCTTAAAAATTCTCTTGATCGTGAGATACTTTTTCGTTATCTAAAGTAGTTAAGATATTAGAGTTCTGTATACTTTAAAGGGTACGTTAATGGTTTCATTTTGTCGTTGAAAAGCACCATGAATGAGAAACATACACAACCATATCTGTTTCTTTGTTTAACGGATGTTTTTGTAATCAGGTACATCCATTGTATTCTAAAAGTCACCTCCTCTTCGAAAAAGGTGTTTAAGGCGAATAAAGAAACAATTTGGATGCAAATTTTTACAGAGTCTTGTCATTGTAAATATAATTTTTGACTAACGTCGTCATTTAAAATGATGCATGATAAAATTTTTTCCCGCCTAGGGTACGGCTCCATTGCCATGTTATATGTCGGCGATCTTTTCTGTTGGATTTATATTCATAAGTAAACTTGGATATCTTATTTCAAAATTTTCGTTCACAAATTTCAAGAACCTGGCCGTGTAGATTGTAATAAAGTTACTCCTCCTTGAAGGTAACTATTTGTCAGTCTCATTCACCGGCTGTTTCAATCTGTACCGGACTGAAAATTAAATCACTCAGTATGAGTAGTTTAAAGTTTCTATCACTGGCCCTTTTTTCCTTTGTATTATCAATCGAAATCTAAAATGCATACTCCTTTTTTTTTTAACCAGTATTAGCGTACCTGCTTTTTTAGCCGTTCGTTGTTCTTTTCGTTGGGAAGGATCTAATTTTGAAAATGTAGCTCTACTGCAAAGACCGCACCAAGCGTCAAGGTCAAAAGCGGTCTTTTTCCAGTGCTACTATTATTTTATCACTCATGCCCGCTTCAGGGTCATTGGTCGGCGGTGTTTTCAAAGTATAGATAAAAATCCCACAATTCCAAAGCAGCATTGATGTCCTCGTTACATCTACGCGATGGCCACAACCTACCCAGCAAAATGTTTCTTTTCTTCTCTGTCTATAGTTAGTTACTCTGATTAGACACGGAAAGAACGCCGCAGCAAGGATCATTTTTTTAAATAATCTTAAAGTTTATATGAAATGCCTGTCCGATTTTTGCATATGTATTTAGTGTCATTAAAGCTTCTCAATGTGCGTTATAAGGAGATTGCGAAAGACATGTTCTAAATCTCATCGAATAAGGTAGCTCTTCCTTACAACGTCAAGACCTATACTAAATGATCCTAAACGTAGACGTTAAGGGAGGATGTGGAAAAGATTGAGGAGAATTACGGGGATGTTTTCAGTGGAGCACGTGGATAGTTTCGAGCAAAATCTGACGAAAAATATGTATCACACTGAACTCAGATTTTTTTTTCCAGGAAAGAATTACTTCGTAGCAGACGCAGGTATTACAGGAAGTTCTCAATGGGGTTAACTGTTAGTCGCAAAAGGTAAAAAAATAATTTAGCCGGTATGCATGAAAATTGTCTGAAACAAGCTAACGGAAAAAACATTTCCTATCGACGACGTGTTCTTTTGAAAGTTTCACAATCTTAGACTGTTACATGTCTTGTCGTGTGGCTGATGCAGGAAAACGGAAAATTATCCCACGTAAATCTACCCTTGATACATGACTCTAATGACTTTCAAACTATGAAAATTAATCGTTAACTCTTCAAGATGATTAAATTTTATCTTCAGCAGTTTTGTTAACTGTAACGTATAGAAATTAACAGATAGCCGTAAAAAACCATCATCCCAATAAAACTCTCTTAAGATCTCTTCAAGGTCTTTTACGGCGAGTTGCTCCGTAAATTAAGTGGTTGATAAGGGTGATGCTTTTATAAGTTGCCGACCTCAACGATATGAGATTCATTCCAAGGAAAGAATGTCATCATATTAGTATTCATTTTGTCAATGTTCCACGCATGATTTTGGCAGGTTCACTGAAGCACCCTACACATGAAGCACCCTACACATATATGCCATTTCGTCACTCTCCACAGAACTGTGTCGGTATGCGATTTAGTTTGCTGGAAATTATAATGACCCTGGTGAGATTACCGAGGAAGTACAAGCTGGAACGCACCAAGGAAACAGCGGCGAGTTACGCAGCATGTCAATGGTTGGATGGTACAGCAATCCATACCCCTCCTCCCTCCCTAACAGATCGCGCTGTAATCTCAAATCGTGTCGCTCCCGGGTCATAGACTAATTTGAAGACATCATAACATGTTTAAGAACAATTGTAGCCTCTAAGCAGTTTTTGCAACGGCGGTCACTTAGTTACCTGAAGAACCTTCAGGGACATATGTTCTAGCTGTTCATGTCTTCCTTTCGTTCACATGACTTGCTAGATTCGCTCAGCTCTCGCCTGAGAGGCCGGCGGTGGTCAGTGGTCAGACTGCAGTGATCATTAATCCATTTGTATCTTCGGTGAGGCTAACTTAATTATCATTTTTTTACTTTCTAGGTTCCATTAGGCTTTGTTGTTGATACTCTCCTTACCTGCCCACAAGCACAAATTATGCAGAAAGTCTTACCCAGAACTTAAAAGTAAAACAGGTGCATAGCTTGTCCTTTAACATTAGTGTGCTTTGAGCAGATTGATTTGATTAACCAAGATTAAGCAAGCTATTGGCCACGGAGCCAATGTTATTGACTTGTGTACGTGCTCACCCATATACTCTCTCTCTCTCTTTGATATACAGGTTCTTTGTTAACCATAAGCATTTCTTTGATGCAATAAACTTGCTGCCCCATGCAAAGTTTGTGACTTCAACTTTGATACTCTTCGCTGCTCTAGCAAGAAAAGGGAACGGTGCCCTCGAAGACGCTTTGCATGTCAAATTTTTCAAACTCAAGTTTTTGAGAAAATTTTTTTACAGTCATTTTACTTTCAACATAAAATTGAACAGAATTGTTCCCCGCGCATATGGAAAGAGAACAGTTTCTTGCTCAGATGCATGACCTTCAATCTTGACCTTCTTGTCTCATACGGCCTCAAGTAAGCTTGCACAGGAAGAACTCACCAAACCTCTATTTGAAATCATTTAGTGACAACGTAAAACCGACAACTTGGAAACGTCCACGAGGCAAGGTCAATATGGGGGTCATTTCTTCGGCTAATGAACTGCGCAAGCGGTAGCCTTAAGTTAGCGGAAATGTGTTTGGTGGCACACCCTCGCGATAAACAATATACGGTATATTCACAACAGTTTGATCATACCTAAGCTTAACTCGGTATGAGGGGTTGATTAAACAAGTTGATTTGCAGGCCATTTGATCGGGCATTTAAATACGTGAGAGAATTACGAGATCCCCCCCCCCCCCTCTTGCAGAGTCCTCGCTTCCTAAACGTGAAACTGAGAAGGAAATGAGGTGTATCTACAAATTTATCCGGTGTGATTTTCTGCTCAACGGCAGGAGAGTTATCGCTTTACCTGATAACACGACTGTACTCTGATTAAAGTTATCGTCCTTTGTTCAGTGGATCACTTTGCCTTAAAGATTTGATGCCGTCATCATTTAAGTACTACAAAATCAGCTTGTCTCTAAATAAGTCTTATTGATGGTTTCAAACTCAGGGCTGAAATTTTGGTATTGCTGAGCTCAGCAATATTATGACTATTCATTAGGAGGTTTTACGCTGAATTGACACTCAGTCGGCTACAAGAATCAATATTTCAGTTCCCTGCGAAGCAGACATTAAATATCAAATTGAAGTATTTGTGAAAATATTAAAACAAAGGAGATTTCCAGTGTGATTGCATTTAGCTATAGAGATATATTAAGGTGTACTAAATAAAGGTGTATTACGAAATAACTAAAAGCTACCCTGCGACAAAAAGAGTCCTCGATTTCGTATTTTGGCCTGTATAGTTTCGATTTTAAATCAGTGGAAATTAAGATATCGACCAGTGCTCTTTATTAACCGATGTTACAGCACCTGCTGGATAAGTTAAGTTCGGCTTAGCTTGCAAAATATCTAAAAATATAAACATATTTTATTTTGCCAGTTATGGTAAAAGGATTGCGTGATAATGACTAGTGACGCAGTTCCGGTAATAACAAAACCTACTTTAACGAAATCTTTAGCGCTGAAATGCGCGCTCGAGAACGAAAGTGTTAACGACAGAAAATCACTCTCTTTTCGCTGAAATATATCCTCTTTTTTGAAATTTAGTCGATTTATGAGGAAAGGATTACTCACTGCTTACAGAATATGAAAATTTATTGATTCGCCATGAGACGTGACAAATAGTTATGCACTTCAACATTACATATGCAACTAAATTTAGGTATTACATTTCCAACACAAATCAAATTATGCATGCAACCTCAGCTATATAAACAACAGACCTGTGCATGACGAGCTTACCGCAGCTGCATAATCTTTTGCTACAAATTACTGTACTTCACACGAAGTACCAGTGGTAAGTTTTGAACTTTTGCTAAATACCTCGAATCAGAATTGAGGAAACCTCTTACTTGCCATTTCTTGCTGTTCGATGCTTAGAGTTCGTTACATCACCCCTTTGGGGCATCGGTCTCGCTTGAGGGCAGTCGGTTATGATCGCACCGCTAATTTTTTTTTCTTTTCACAGAGAAGATCTAGAAAACGTGAATAGAAAAGGGAAATTTCCAAGTTTTACTTTAGACAGCGACTCGACCTCGAGAAAATACTGATTCAGCTGTATTTATTGCAAGTTCAAGCAAACCACAGCAAAGATGGCGGATTTTTTGCAAACAATAATTCAGTTCGAGAAGGATCACTGGGTGGCACTCTTAGTTGGGTTCCTGGTTGTATTGTTTTACTGGTAAGTACTGACAGTAAAATTAGCCAGAAAGTGTAATTGGTTCAGCAAAACGTGCCAGGATTTTCTAACACTGCAACATTGAATACTCAACCGTGCGTATTGACTAGCCAAATATTGTACTTGGCTATGTACTTGTGCTCGGTAATTGTAAAAATATATAATCGAAAGTATAAGCGGAGATCAAAAGAGCACAAATTACACAAATCGCTCCCACATGCGATCAGTGCCGTAGATAAAGTTTTTGAACAGACGGTAACGTTCTTTTCTTTTGGAGATCTTGCAAGAAGAACAAGTAACAGTTTGCAGTCACGTTAAGTCTAAGCCCTGTAGGAGAAGATTTAAGGTGCACTATAGGGGAGATACTGAAGCTAAACACAAAGAAAGAATTCAAGTAACTTATTCAGCTGTTTACATGGGGATGTTTAGATATATCATATACCAAGCTGTTTTGTTCCTACACAAGGTACTGTGTTGCCCCATTCACTGTGTTCATGAAACTAGGAATCAAGGGACCAAGACCACTTCCTTTCTTTGGAAACTCAATCAGGAACCTTTTTGATGTAAGTCAGCACTTAATTTTCTGGTGTAAGATTTATGATAGAACAGAAATGTTAATGTCAGTATTAACTTTTTACCTGAAAAAAAAAAACATATATATATATATATTGATATTTCAGAGATTGGAATAGTTCAAAAGTTTGCACTAGTTTAAATGTTGAAACAATCAACTTAAAAATTACTTGTACAGAACTGTCAATGTTTTTATGTTTGATTTTAGCCGAACATTCTTCCAAAACTTCATGTGGAATGGTACAAGAAGTACGGCAAGGTGTTTGGGTATGTGATTTCTTATTCATACTCAATGATTGTATAAATAATCATCATGCAGCTGAGAGAGAGAGAGAAAGTGTAATATAAGATGGTATAGCACTCCATACTCCCCTGGCTCTGTGTCTCAAAGCTGAGTTTGATAAACTCACTTGAAACTTTTAATAAATAATTGACAATTATCATCTATTTACTACACTTAAACAAATTATGCAAGAATAATTTGTTTTTCTTTTAGGATATATTTTTTCCGTCAGCATATGCTAATGGTTGCTGATCCAGACATGCTTAAAGAAATTCTTGTTAAAGATTTCTCTAAATTTCATGACAGAAAGGTAAGTTAGAGCCCCTCTTTCTTAATTTTTTTGATCTGAATTGCATTAATTGCTGTTTAATAATCCATGGCTTCTTCTTACACAAACTCTTCTGAATACTTTCTTCTTCAGTTTGACATGGATTGTGGAAAGGCTTATCAAATTATTGCCCCCTTGTTATTTATCCAATGAAATGTTCAGTATTTACCTGAGGCTGAAAAAGTAACTCTACCACAACATCAAAATGCTCTGAGCATCAAGGCTTTTGTGTAATTTGTACATCATTTGAATAACATTTTAAAACCTGTAAAAATTATTCTCTTAGCCCATTGTAGAGATTCCAAAGCCTTATAACAAAATGTTAACCATAGCACAAGGTCAGAAGTGGAAGGATATTCGCAACACTCTGACACCAACATTCAGTGCATCTAAAATGAAACTGGTATGTTCATCTGTTGTCATGTAGGTGCTAAATTAAACGAGTGACATGCTATATACAATTAAACTGTCAGTTTTTTTCCATAGTTATCAAACTAATGGTGTAGGGAAATGTTTCAAAAAATCCAGAATATAAAAGCAGCATGAAAATTCACTACCTCCAGCCCAATAGAGACACTTCAATTCTTATCAATTGCTATCCATACAGTATGTGCTACACAGTGGCTATGACTAAATTAGATAATTACCTGTATTATCTAAATGACATCTCTTCCATGAAATAAATGTTTCAGATGATGACTTTTATGAATCAAGCTTTGGATACATTTTTGTTGAAAGCAGAGAATGCTTCCAAGACTGGAGAGATTGTAGATTTCCACAGGTAGAGTTATATCATAACAATTATTAGATATATATAGTTCCCATTTTTCATACTTCCAATTGAAATTTCCCCTCCAAAGGTTTTGCTGCTTTTTGTTTCCTTACTCTTCCCAAAGTGAGAGTTTTTATATATTTCAAATGCCACTTACTGACTTCCACTTTTTGCTCTGTAGGTGGCTTCAGAGTCTTACCATGGAGGTCATTTTGTCAACAGCATTTGGAGTCAAAGCAGAGACACAAACTGTTGAAAATGATCCAATCACTGAACTAGCAAAGAAGGCCATGGCTCCACACCCTCTTGTTGCATTTGTGTGTAAGGCATTTTCTCTCTTAACTGTCTTTGTCATTACAATTATTTTATGGTGAATTTATCCACAACGTTATTATATGGACACCTTTGGTAACACATTTCCTGATTGGTTGTCATTATCATTTTGTAGTGTTATTACCGTTTGGAGACCGTTTATTCAAGTATCTTCCAGACCCTCTTGATTTTGACAAGATTGGGTCTGTAGCAGCCGACATTATTGCTGAACGGACTAAAGAAAATGGAAATCGCAAAGATCAAGTGAGTTGGTTTATATTCTTTATAGACAGTACAATAATAGGATTACTCCTGAAAAAAAAACCGCCATGACCGGGCAATTCCTATTTTAACTAATTTCAATATATAAATATGATTCTTTAAAGCGAAAAGACATGCTCCAAATGATGCTGGATGTAAAAGAAGAAACAGAAGGAGAAAAAATTGACAATGAAGACATTCAAGCCCAAAGTGTCGTATTCCTTCTCGCTGGATATGAAACTTCTAGTACCACCCTGGGGTTTGTTTGTTATCACCTCGCCCTTGATACGCACATGCAAGACAAACTGAGAGACGAGATTGACCATATGTGGCCTGGAGACGAGGTATGAGGGGGCTTAATTTGCTGATTTCCAGAGTAGAGGTTGCCCCGTTTTAATATAATTTGATGAGAGAAGTCAAAAGCTGTTGTAGAACAACTTCAACAATTATCCATTCACCTCAAAACGCTTCAAATGTACGTAATATGGTACGAATACGAGAGTAATTTCCGTAAATAAACATCCAGGTGACTGAATGAACACTAGAACAACAAGAACAATTGCAAAATAAACAACAAACAGCACTTTTAAATGATCTTCATTACCAAATGGGAAATCGTGTGAAATAAACACACTCAACAGTTGAACAAACGAGTTCTAATTCAGGCGTTGCTTCAATTGTTTTAATCATTAAATCTACAGGCATCGCCGTCGTATGATGTCATTCATAAGATGGAATACCTCGACATGGTTATCAACGAAGCACTCAGAATGTATCCGCCAGGATTTGCGTACGTTAGCCTTTAAGACCTAGCTATAACTTGTGTTTCTCTTCTTTCTCCTGGAACATAACGAAAGGATCAAAATGTGCAGTGTATACTCTACCTAAAATGGACATTGCTTTGTTTTCAAAAAAGCTTTCAGTTTAACGGGAAACTCTGGTGAATACCTTCTTGTTCTATGTAAAATGTACCCTCATTTGCAAACGGTTCAATCATTTCGCACCCCAAACTTTCGAGGCAAATAAAGGGAGCCTCATTTTAAAGTATCTTTAAGTTGAGGAAACGTTGAGATGAGACGGTGGGAAGACTGCCTCTGTGAATTACAGAGAACAATTTTAGGTCATTATGCCAGCCCCTCTCCCAAAATCGGTAATTTACTGAGCTAAGCCTGTTTTGCAAACGGCTACTGTCTAAGTCGATGATTATTATGTTGTACATTGGAATATTTTCAGTATTTCTTTGTTTTCATCTTAGAATCCAGAGGGACTGCAACGAGACTTGCACTATCAAAGGAGTTACAATTCCAAACGGAATGCCAATCTTGGCTCCGATTTATGCCATTCATCACGATCCAGAGATTTATCCGGATCCCGAAAAGTTTGATCCAGAGAGGTGAGCCGCGAAAGGCCTCCTATTTTTCTCCCTCTTCATTTAAGGCTACGTTTTTACTGCTTTCATTTCTGTCATATGCAGAGAATTGAATACAGTATTCCAATCTCGTCACGTTTCCTGTAATTCTTCTATAGCGATAACTCTTCTCAGATCATTGAAATGTGCGGAAAATCGCTGTGTAAACTGCGGGCTGTGTGAACTTGCATTGAACAGCCCAGTGAACGCTCTTTGCTAGGTTGAATTATCACACCCAACGTATCATTTAGTTATGTGTTTCATCTTCTGATTTATGATATTTTTTGTGCGTTGATTTTGGTAGATTCACGGACGCAGAGAAAGCAAAGCGTCATCCCTACACATATTTGCCGTTTGGCCACGGTCCACACAACTGTGTCGGTATGCGATTTGCTTTGCTGGAAATTAAGCTGACTCTGGTAAGGTTGCTGAAGAAGTTCAAGCTGGAACGTACCGAGAAAACAGCGGTGAGTTTAATGCCCATGATGCTTGCTCTTTGCCTTCCTAACTGACTTTAAACAAGATCTTTTGGGATAGTTTCCCCATAGGGAATAAATTGATCCTCTTAGGAAACCACAGAAAAAATTGCAGAAATTTTAACCTAGAGATAAAAATTCAAGCTTGCCACTGCCTCCCAGGTACCTGTAAGGCTCTATTACTGACTGCGCTGCAAAGCTACACATATAGTATCAATATGATTATCATAATTTATGGGCCATTTTAAGGCAAGACACCTTATTTAAAGGAAAAAGAAGGAGCGATGTAGAGGTACGAGTGATTGGCGCTGTAACTTTTCAGGTCGATTTTAGCGTCCTCGACTTCTGTCTACAAGTATGTTGGCCAGTAGATAAATTAGTAAAACTGGTTATTGAGCCTTTTTTTATCTTCGCAAAAGCCTTATAACAAGCATTTTTATACAATTAAAAATTGAAAAGATAACTTATTTTTTTGTAATATATTATCAGGTTCCGCTGGGCTATGTTGTTGGATCAGTTCTTACCTGCCCTCCAGGAAAGATCATGCTTAAAGTTTCACCCAGAGACTAATACAAGAGGATATTACATTACCTTTCAAGTACACAAATATATGTGTTTGGATAGATATCTAACATCCAATTTCACTACCGTAAACCTTTGCATGTTACGTATTTGCATGTATACTTAACTAAATATGCTGGCAAGTAGAACATAGCGATGATGAAGGAAATAGAGATCTTTGTAGTTCTTCCAAGATTAAAAAATTCTCACGAAATAGTATTGTTGCTGATTATGCTCTAGCCATTGACTCGAGCTGTTTCTACTTATGTTGTGGTAATCCTCTATCAAGGTTTTCTATCACGTTCAGGAGGTCAGGATTTTTTAAGTGCTTACGGGTTCATTGCTGTTTTTTTCTTGAATAGCCCACATAGCGTAACCTCTTGAATTTTATAATGCCCAGTTATCGTAATTCAGGGCTAGAGCATTTTTCTTTGTATTTAAAGATATGTAGTAAAACACAGACAGGCAACATGTACCGTGAAAATAGGTTTTTATTAGTGATAGAATGATAACGTATGGTGATCTCTTAATCTAACTGTAAATTTAGATCTCATTTTGACATCAATAAACTACCTATCAAAGTAACGAAGAATATGTCTCTGTTCGATGCTTTTTAGCGCGATCATTTAATTTTTATCTCGGTTTGAGTGATCAGTGCATGGACAAGAGTTGGCCAAATGCTCAGAGCGTTAGATTCTGAGGCGAAAAGTCTGCATTCGAACCCTGGCATTCCACAGTGTCTGTAACTGTGGTCGCCCACGAACTGTTAGGACGAAATAACAAAAAGCTGGGGAATATAATGTTATGGAGTAGCAGAATATGGTAAAAAGTGGGAAACAAAAATCCTGACGGGTTCATGCTATTAAAGCTGATATAAGCTCTGGCAGGATGGGTCTCCTGGCCCGTCATCTGATGAATCAAGTTGAGTGATGAAGCACCAAACATTGACCGATGACCAGACATTTCCAGCTATAGGAAAAAAAAGCGATCTAGAAATATTAAGTATAGCTGAGACCGTTTATCGTTGGCAAGAAAATGTCTCGACCGACACGGTGTCTTTTAGGCTGGACACGAAAGAAATCGTACCAGATTATATCAGTAACCTATTTCGTGTACTTAACTGCCGAAGTTTGCTGCAGGCGGTCTTTTTAAGTGAAAACGCGTTCTAAATCCACAGATATCTTGACAGCGGGGATTATTCTCTCTATTCCCTTGAAACTCTTAGGGAGAAATGGCCGCTGGACTGAATTACAAAACATCCTTAGCCTGAAGAAAACCCTCTGTTATCTACAAGGCATTAATGATATGTTCCGTATTTGTTGATTTATGCTTTGCGTGACTTGTATTTTGTTGATCAGTTTTTTTTAAATAGCACAAATATCAAATCTAAAATCGCAATGTGGACCCGTTTCAAAACGTGATGCATCTCGTGTTTACTTTTAGGACTGAAGTAATTACCTCATAGTGAGTCTAAAAAGAAAACAATACTTATTGCTGTCGTGACACCCTGACCCTGAACTGTTGCTAATTAAGTCAAAATTTGTAATCTTCTGACTAATTTGCGTTAGATCGCGGATTGAAATCTACCGGCGCTGACGTTTACAGATCAGGGAGACCTTTGGTTTTAGAGACGAAATTATTCGCTTGTGGACGTATAATTTTGTTGGTAAGAACATTCTTTGTATTTAAGCACGAAAGTTGAGATCCAATAATGTGTGTTATTTATGTGTTGTATTGCCTTACCAGTAACCTATTGTTCCTTGCATAAAAATGATCGAATAACGCAAAATTTTACAGATTCACAGGAAGTACAAAGCAAAGATGGCGGATGTTCTGCAAGCAGCGTTTCAATTTGCCAGCGATCATTGGATTACTCTTTTGGTCGGATTCTCGATCATATTATATTATTGGTAAGTATGTGAAACATAGGTATGAGCGCAAATGGTCGACTAATGAACCTAAGAGACGACAGTGGGGTTTTTATTATAACAGGATTGGAAATTCGTGGATAAACTGATAGGTGGAGTACAATGGCTGTAAACATATGAAAATCATGTGTGTGCACTGCGGTTGAAGAAACGAATATAGAATCGATCTTCGCAGTTATGAACACTACTGAACTAGTAGTTGAAATAAGGCCTGAAAAAAATTCAGGCGCGTACGGGATTTGAACCCATGACCTCTACGATACCGGTGCAACGTTCTACCAACTGAGCTAACATGCCAACTAGAATTATGTTAAATGCAAATAAACCTTCAAAATGGTGAATAATGGCTATAAACATATGAAAATCATATGTGTGTACTGCGGTTGAAGAAACGAATATAGAATCGATCATCGCAGTTATGCCGGAACACTACTGAACTAGTAATGACCGGTTCCCAGTTGGCTTGTTAGCTCACAGGCGGCCCAAGCTCCAGCTGTGAGGTGATCATATTGCGCAATAACAGTCATGGCGGAATTATAAGAGTTTGTATGGGAATATTTACGGCCGCCCTAAGGAATAAAATAATGCGTCAAATTCTCAAAAAAAAATACCTCACCTTACTTCTACAGCGTAATGCTTGTTATCTGACCGCTTACTTTGATGAAAAGGACGCATTTTAGCGAGTTGTCCATTTCGACGTTTTCAACGTTCATAAGTCTTCTTATGTAAGTTGAAAACGTCGAAATCCCGTACAAGCCTGAATTTTTTTTCAGGCCTTATTTCAAATGCTAGTTCAGTGGTTTTCATAACTGCGAAGATCGAGTCTATATAGTTGGAGTATTATTCAGGTTGCCATTCCATTTAAACCTTGATAGTATCAGTTCTTTGAGCTAATTTTAGAGACTGAAACTCTGAAATGAACATCTCATGAAACCCTAGATTCTGAAAACACCAATGAAGTTTGTCTTTCTGATTGTCTATTTTGAATTTCGCTCTATTGTTTCAACCTCATGGAACTTAGTTAGTATTAATTACATCTGATTGTCACGCAATGTTTCCCGCAAAACCTCCCATATGTCCTGTACCAACACACTCCCATCATCCCAAACCTATGTGAAAAGATATGTAACATGGTTTAATTTTTAACAAAACGGTTTTAATGGATTGGAGGCAACATCAAAACCACAGCTGTAATCGATGTTTTCTCGTTTTAATTTCTTCAAGGCATTGGGTTTCGTACTACACTGTGTTCACGAAACTTGGAATCACTGGGCCAACACCTCTTCCACTTTTGGGAAATACGAGACAAACGCTTCTTAATGTAAACCAGATTTTATTTCATTTCTATTTCTCTCTTGTGTATTTCAATAATGCTTTGCATATGGCGACTTCTAGAACTCGTAATTCTTTCCATAGCATTCTGCTCGCATAAAGAAAGGAATCCTCTGATCGTGTAAAGATGAAGACCCGGCCTTCTCTAAGTTTCTCGAGTAATGATTTTGTTTATCTTCTTGCAGCCAAATTTTGCTCCAAAACTTCATGTAGAGTGGTGTGCAAAGTATGGCAGGGTGTTTGGGTTTGTACAACTTTCTTATTTTCTGAACACTTATTTTGTTATCAATTTTGGTATTGCAGTCTATAACAATTTCCCAAATAATCCATTGGATACCTAGATAATATGTATGGCCAGTAGTTTTTTGTTCGCACAACCTCATGTTAATTAAACTTCTCTCTAAGAAGCAATTCAAATTATCGTAACCCTTTACTACGTTAAAACATACTCATTGATGTACAGTGGAACATAGATGAGGCGCAACAATTCAACGTTAATGTTAAATGTTAAAACATAATCATCGATGTATAGTGGAACATAGATGAGGTACAACAATGTAACGAAAAAAAAGTGTGATGATGGCAGATGAAGTACTTTGAGAGCAGAAATTTCTTTTAAGATTTAGTTAGCAGTAAGACTAAGTTAACTGAATATGAGATATGAGCCACAGCTGACTGTTAGAACAGAAGCAAAGTATTCTTCTACTGTAAACAACATAACGAGTAAATTTTTTTTCTTTCAGAATGTATTTGTTCCGGACGCCTTTTCTAATGGTAGCTGATCCTGAAATGATCAAAGAGATCCTCGTTAAAGAATTTCAAAAATTCCATGATCGAAAGGTTAAAATGATACATAGTTTTTTCTTTTCCTTAATCATCTCTTCTCTTTGTATCGTTATGAAAGACTTAAATTTGTCTTCTTTCAATTTTTAGCTCATCGTAAATTTTACAAAGCCTTATGACAGGATGTTGACCTTAGTACCTGGTCAGAAGTGGAAAGATATCCGTACTACTCTGACTCCAACCTTCAGTGCTTCTAAGATGAAGCAGGTGCTTAAAGTCTTATTTGACTGAAACAATTGCATACTCTCTAGGAGTGGTCCAGGGCAAATATTCAGTTATCTTGACTCCAGCAGTGGTGTTATCACTTGGGTATCATCAGGATATTATGATGTATTACCAGATATTTTGAGTAAGATGGTTACTCTGGGCAAGCGACTATGGTTCATATCTATAGCAGCTCATTTGAGAAGACAATTTTAAATAATTTACTTTTGTGGGAGTTGGGTTGGGTTGACAAAGGTTTTCCTTTTAAGCGTATATGCAGCTGTATGTCGAGAGAGTCAGATGCATATGAGGACGATTAAATGAACCAGTTAAGTCTAATTACCTGGAGTGTAATCCAACTGAGGTTAAGTGCCCAAAATGACTACCACTGATTTCTAGTTAATTCCCCCTTAAAAGTCAGGCAAAATAAAATCACCTCTTCTTACCTTTATCCTCAACAAGACTGAAGTACTTCAGGTTATTGGAAGATTGAAGTTGCGTCATTTTTTTTTTCAGATGATGACATTTATGAATGAATCCGTGGACACGTTTATTGATAAGGTGGACAAAATTTCAGAAACAGGCGAGATAGTAGATTTTCATAAGTGAGTTTATGCAAGTAAATTGTAATTGTTATTTCCTTTGTTTTAGCGATAAGATAAGAGGAGTGTCAGTTTACATTTTCATGCACCCCTAAGTATGTATTTAGCGTTTTTCTTTTCATGTCTCCTAGGTGGCTTCAGAGTCTTACCATGGAGGTAATCTTGTCAACAGCATTTGGAGTGAGAGCAGAAACACAAACTACTGAAAATGATCCAATCACTGAACGAGCAAAGAAAGTCATGACTCCTAAACCTATCGTTGGGTTAACATGTTAGTTTCGTATATTTTACCCCACAGTTCAATGCTTGCCTCATGTTATTCATCATTTGGAAAATTCCCGATTTCCTACCTCGAAGCTTTCTCCCCGTCAACCCCCAGGAGTACTTCCCAGAAAGAGGTTAGAGAGAAGTGCCGCTGGATGGCGTCACATTTTCACAACTGGATTGAATAAAATAGGTTTACATTTTCAGTAGTGTGACCAGCGTGGGTTCGCACATTTTCAAGATGTAGGGGCAAGATAATCCTGATAAAGAGAAATTAAGAAATGGGAAGATTCGGGGTTAAAAAAATTGTTACATTAACCCAAAAGTGAGTATAATGCAATCTATAATTGGCCACAGAATAGACTATAACCTCGCCCCCGCCCCCCACCCCCCATTTATTATAAAAGTTTCTTTAGAAACTTATCCCCCCTCTCCCCCCGTAGTAATAGAGTAGATCACTCACAAGATCTTTGAAGTTTAAGTTATTTGGGGTTATCAAAACCATTCCTTTTTCAGTGCTACTGCCGTTTGGAGACCGGTTACTAAACTATCTTAATGATCCCTTTGAGTTTGACCCAATCGGGTCCGTAGCAGCTAATATAATAGCTGAGAGGACAACGGAAAATATTAACAGGAAAGCCAAGGTAAGTACGATATGCAAGACATTCTACAATCGGTACATATCTTAAACCTGAAGCTGTATTGAACTCGCTGTTCATGCTGATCATGAAATCTCAACTGTATCCGTATTTCGTTCCGTACAACCTTCGACAGATATTCCAGTCGATCAGATGGAAAACACTTGATTGGTCAGGTCAAAGAGGACTCGTTCATTTCTAAACTCGTTTTCTCAGAGCCGCCTCATTCCCTCCTTATCAATCAAGGGTTATTGATTAAAGTTGTCGGTTCCTTACGTTTGATTTTATAACCGATCTTAGTCTTCACTCCTCCCTTACAGCCTTAAGACATGTTATAATATATTTTGAATTATTTCTTACAGCGAAGGGACTTACTCCAAATGATGCTGGACGCAAAAGAAGAAACCGGCGGACAAAAAATTGACAATGAAGATATTCAGGCCCAAAGTCTCGTTTTTCTAATCGCTGGATATGAAACTTCCAGTACCACCCTGGGGTTTGTTTTTTATCACCTCGCTATTGATACGCATGTGCAAGACAAACTGAGAGATGAGATTGACCGTTTGTGGCCTGAGGACGAGGTATAAAAGGGCTATAAATTAGTCATGTGTCACCATACTTAAACTATTCTCAATTGATCTTGAAAGAAGGCAAACTTGCGTAGCGATAATGTTGTCGACAGAGAATATGATATGAATATGATATGATAAACAGTGAGCATGGACTGGATATTTAAAAAAGCCTGGGTAATTATGCAGTTAACAAATTAAACAAATGATGCGTGCAATTAAATAAACGAATTCAGATTATCGAAAACTTCGAATATTTCCCTTTCTCATAAGCTAACTTAAAATGTTAATGACCACCCATTAATCTCTTCAGGCGTCGCCGTCATACGATCTGCTTCATAGGATGGAATACCTTGACATGGTCATTAATGAAGCACTCAGAATGTATCCCCCAGGATTTGTGTAAGTGTACGAGGATTCCCTGATATCTTTTAATTTGTAGATATGCTAAGCATAGCAACATGCTCGAGTAATGTAGAGATTCGATTTGCAAATTTCTTGGCGTTTGCTCGGCCCCAGGAGTGTGAAGAGAGCATTTGGAATCATAGTATCATTGGCATAAAGTACAAACACAGTATATTTTGATTGCATTCTGCACAATATACAAAATTAGGATGTTATGTGTTAGCTATTACTTTTCTTGTGTATAATTTACGATTGCACCTCAGACTCCAGAGAGACTGCAACGAAACCTGCACTATCAAAGGTGTCAAAATTCCACAAGGAATGCCGATCATGGTTCCATGTTATGCTGTTCATCACGACCCAGAGATTTATCCAGATCCCGAAAAGTTTGATCCAGAGAGGTGAGATAGGTTATTCGTTTGCTGGCACTGATGAATTGAGTTACTGTTACCGAATTTCATTCGTATCTGATTACTGATATCTGAATGCAGACTAGACTAGGAAACGGTTTTAACACCCCATTCCTTCAGGACCCTTCTCGAATAGTGTTTTGGTTTTCAACAGGTTCACAGAAGACGAAAAAGCAAAGCGTCATCCGTATGCATTCATGCCGTTTGGTCACGGCCCCCGCAACTGTGTCGGCATGCGATTTGCTTTGCTGGAAATTAAGCTGACCCTGGTGAGATTACTGAGGAAGTATAAGCTGGAACGGACGGAGAAAACAGCGGTAGGTCAGCTGATTGCTGCAATAATTGATTATTAACGATTTCATGGAAAATTTGTTTGCTAAATCCAATCGTTTTTGTCAGTCATTGTCGACCAAGTTGTGAGTCGTCCAAGTTTCAACATAAACGTTTAGTGTCTCTGAGCGAATTATGAAATGTGATTGCAGCTTTCTGAGGCCAAATCTGTGCTTTCTCGCAAAAACGTTCTTGAGGAATTTCCATGTAACTCGTTGCAGGACCTTATAACTTTGTTTTGACCGCACTCTCCACCATCATTGTTCATGATCACTGTTGTGTATCTTGTAGGTTCCATTGGATTACGTTGTTACCTCTACAATGTCCTGCCCGCAAGGACAAGTAATGCTGAAAGTTTCACCCAGAGATTAGAAAACTAAGTGGTGCCTGGACATCAACCTCAATTACTTTTACACTGCTTGACAAGTTTATGTCAGGCTTGGATAGTTTAGACTGAACTGGCTTTAATCTGTCTTTTTAATTACAGTACTTCTTTTGTCAACGTTTTCATGGAAAAAATGTAAAGAAAAAGTTCTTATGAATTTGTCTTGTTTTGTCTGTTTGTTTTAATTTCTGTCGAGATATCAGGTACCGTTCTCAAATTTTGTACTCATGTTATAGATATGTATCACAGCTCACTGAGCCGTGTAGAGTATGATATGTTTTTATATACGACTCTTCCAAAACCGAATCCATGAAAAACCGAGTCTACGAGCGAGACAGCGATATGGTATTAAAGCCGTGTAAGTAAAAAACAGCATCAGGCTCGGAATATTTCAGTAAGGAAGGCTTATAATCGTCTCCATCCTGCAGCATTCACGAACAGAAACTATCATTGCAATTGTCTTACTAATGCGGTCAATACTCTTACGGTCACCGCAGTGGTTAGAGTGGTCCTGAACGGCTTCGTTGCTCGAGCTCTGAGTATGAGCACCAAATTATCGCTCAGCATCTGTGTGAGCAAAAAAATTTAAGATTGGTCCTACAATGATTTAGTAAGTGTATTCTATGAAATTAAATAAAGCAATGACCAACCACCTAATCTGTCTACAGTTTGATTAGGAAAACAAAGACGCATAACAGCCATGAAATAGTTGCTTTTGTTTTTTAGGATCATTTTGAACCGAATGGGTAACTTCCTTCAACAAAAATTATCTCCTTTAAAGCATTCAGTCATTTTTCCATCAAAGTTGTTTAGCGTATCTACGGTTTTTCTAGAAAACCTCCAGGAATCACAAAGGTTAACTTTCTTAAGCGGTTTCTGCTTTGACAGAATTAATGTTCACCAACCGTATTCTTGTATGAGAGACATCATAGGCCGTAGGTCTAATGTCAGAAAGTTACTTTGGAAGGTCACGGAAAGTCAAGTTTACAAAGGGGGAACGATCAACCGCTGTGAACCTCTTGATAAAATTTCGACTCGCTGGTTTAAGGACATCCTCTTTCATTTGCGCACATTGCATCATTCAGGTGCGTGGAAATCATTGCATTATATTTCACGCACTGCGGTTTTGACGTCAGAGCAAACTGAGAACCCGTTACTCTCTAGTTACTTTGGAAGAATAAACTCGCTTATCCCTTTTCGTTCACAACGCATCTACTGAAAAGTATACCCCTTAAAATATGAGCAGAGCCACCCGGGCATTTCTCCTAGATATTAAAAATAAATAGCAATTCTGGCTCGTCTACCGTGACATCGATATCTGAAACCTCTATCATTACAAAATTTACATACCGTTGAAAGCTTCTATTTATGGTCCAGCCATGCGCGGACATGCATAATACTCACTATCTTAGAGTTGATCACAAGCCTGTAAACGCACTTCAGCCAGTTTGTGTAGCAGACAACATCAATTCAATGAAGTAAGAATTGATGTACTTTGAGTGTTAAGTCTTCCAACCATAAAACGTATCAAATGTGTTTTAATTTATTGTTAAATTGGGAGCTGTAAGGATGTGTTCCAGATCTCCCTGGGCTTCGATTGCACGTAATCTTGCGTTTGGGAGAAAAGAAGTTCCAAAGAGCAACAACTGAAAATAAGGTTAACGAATCTCTTCTACTCCAGACGAGTATAGCCACCTTTACCAACAAGGCAACGCTGTTCTGCAGCTGCACACAAGTGCATCCAAGATGGCTGAAATAATTCAGTTTGCGAGCGACTACTGGGTTACACTTTTGGCTGGTTTCCTGATTCTTCTGTTTTACCGGTAGGTGAGAGACGATGCATTGCTAAACTGCTTAATGTCCACCGATAACACATCATGGATTCAATTGTATCAGAACTTGGTATTTTGGAATTGCTATGAATTTCTACGGATTATTTTCATGGGTCACGCAACCGTGACACCTTGTTCTTCCAATAAATAGGTAAATGTACCAACGAACTTATCTGCGACCGCTTAATTAACTCTTCTCTATCAATAGATACTGTGTTGCACCATTCACCTTATTCAGGAGGCTTGGAATCAGAGGGCCCACACCGCTTCCACTTTTGGGAAATTCAGGAAGAGTCCTTTTGGATGTAAGTCGCTGATTAATTATCATTTGTTTATTTAGGATGGGGCGAGTCGGAGCATATTTATTGATTACGACCAAACTGGACAGTTTTAATTTCACGACATAGATATTGTTGAAATCAAATAAAACCTCTAGCATGTTGGTTTCTTTTCACAGCAAAATATTGCTCCGAAGCTTCATCGAGAGTGGTGTAGGAAGTATGGCAGGGTGTTTGGGTAAGTTAATCAGGAGCCAATTTCATTGTTCGAGTCCAACATGATGACATATCTTTTGGAATGGTGATACGCTAAATCCATGCAACATAGAACTTTGGGTGTTTAAAGACATTATCTGCGTACGGATTGTTTCGGGTGATGTGAAGTCATATGTATTCTTGGTTTTGTCAGGATGTACTTTTTTCGTCAGCCTTTTCTGATGGTGGCTGATCCGGAAATGATCAGAGATGTCTTTGTCAAGGAGTTTCCCAAATTTCACGATAGAAAGGTAGTGTTATCGTAGAGTAGATTAATAACCAGTGCATGGTACGTCCCAAGAACCAAATATAAAATCATCAGGGCTTTCCCACAGCAGACTGTGCTCCAAACACGATACTCTGTTCTTTCCTTCTATTCCTTCCTCCTTACCTCTCCCCCTCTCCCATTCAAAGTGACACCGTGTGTGCTCTTGCATTGCTAAGCAAAAGTGAACAGAGGAATTGGGATTTGTAATGGCAATTACACTATTTTACTGAAGTGCATTTGCAGCCAGGCAAAGACTAGTGTTCACGACTCTTGGACGTTCTAAATGCAGTTAGATCAAGCAACATCAATCAAGTGTCAAGAATTTGATGTCACATTCACTTTGAAAGGATGTCGTCTGTTTTATCATCAGAACTCCTTAAAATTCCGAAAACCCTATGACAAAATGTTGGCAATAGTTACTGGTAAAAAATGGAAGGATATTCGAAGTACTCTGTCACCAGCATTCAGTGCCTCTAAAATGAAACAGGTACGTAGATTTCGGACTCAAAATTAAATAACCTCTGTGCACTAGAATGATGATTAACGAAGGTTTTTATGAAAAGGAAACGTTTGAACGACATTCAGTATGAAGCACATCTCAGTGGTAGAGGCTGTAATTTTTAGGATATAACTAATTGAATGAAATAACGAAGCATTTTGCATAACCATAACCGTTCATATAGTTAAATGTTTTTAAATTTATGATTTTTTGGCGAAATGGCCAGATTTAATTATAAAGCTTATAATAGTAGTAAATTGATTTTAAAGAACCCTTTTGAACTTATTGAAGAAATCAAGTAAATCGTTGAACTAAAAGTTTGGCCATATTGTAAATCACATTTGTCACTAAAAAATTATAACCATGCATCAAGTTTAACATTAGAGAGATGTTTACTATCGATTGTAGAATGCTTATATTACACATTTTTTTCAGATGATGGCGCTGATGAATGAAGCAGTGGGAACACTTATGAAAAAAGTGGACTATATTTCAAGAACAAAAGAGATTGTTGACTTCAACAGGTGATCTTGTTTTTATGCGAATGTCCTTCCTGATTTACTCGTGTATTAGGGCTCTGAAATACAATGTAAGCGAATATAATTTTATCTCAATAATGTATTAGCGTTCAGCATTAACTGTTCAGTTGAAGCTGCCCTCGTCATTCTTCTTTTCCTTTTTCCTGTTCTAAATAGAGCACAGCGTCTGCTGAGGTCACCTCTAAAGTAAGGGTTATTAAACCTGAATATATTTTATCCCATAGTTGGCTCCAGAGTCTTACCATGGAAATAATTCTGTCGACAGCGTTTGGAGTCAAAGCAGAAACACAGACTGATGAAAATGATCCAATCACTCAAATGGCAAGAAAAGCAACAACACCACATCCCATCATTGGCGTTCTGTGTAAGATCTGACTTCCCTTCAACCTCTTAGCCTTGAGGAAAGAATTTAATACGTTGAAAAAAATGCTCTCTAGCGTAAACGCAACGTAACATAAGGTCCGGAAACTGTATCTCTGACTTAGAGAAGGTTGATATACTGAAGCGTTCCTGAAACCATTCCCCGTGCTAATGTATTCTGATATTAAGCGTATTTTGAAACCATTCGCTCTGTTATTTAGTTCTTCTGCCTTTTGGAGACTGGTTATCCAAGTACGTACCAGACCCATTTAATTTTGAGAAGATGTGGTCTCTTGCTGAAAACATTCTTGCTGAAAGGACGAAAGTAAACGGAAAAAGCAAACCAAAGGTGAGTAACAAACTATGAAGCGCAATCCTTTACACCTCAGCATTAGTTTACATATTCTCCATACTGTCTATACTGTCTATACTGTCTCTATACTGTTTACATATTCTCCATACTGTCCATACTGTCTATACTGTCTCCATATCGTTTACATATTCTCCATACTGTCCATACTGTCTATACTGTCTCTATACTGTTTACATATTCTCCATACTGTCCATACTGTCTATACTGTCTCTATACTGTTTACATATTCTCCATACTGTCCATACTGTCTATACTGTCTCCATACTGTTTACATATTCTCCATACTGTCCATACTGTCTATACTGTTTTCTCCATACTGTCCATACTGTCTATACTGTCTCCATACTGTTTATATTCTCCATACTGTCCATACTGTCTATACTGTCTCCATACTGTTTACATATTCTCCATACTGTCCATACTGTCTATACTGTCTCCATACTGTTTACATATTCTCCATACTGTCTATACTGTCTATACTGTCTCTATACTGTTTACACATTCTCCATACTGTCCATACTGTCTATACTGTCTCCATACTGTTTACATATTCTCCATACTGTCCATACTGTCTATACTGTCTCTATACTGTTTACATATTCTCCATACTGTCCATACTGTCTATACTGTCTCTATACTGTTTACATATTCTCCATACTGTCCATACTGTCTATACTGTCTCTATACTGTTTACATATTCTCCATACTGTCCATACTGTCTATACTGTCTCCATACTGTTTACATATTCTCCATACTGTCCATACTGTCTATACTGTCTCTATACTGTTTACATATTCTCCATACTGTCCATACTGTCTATACTGTCTCCATACTGTTTACATATTCTCCATACTGTCCATACTGTCTATACTGTCTCCATACTGTTTACATATTCTCCATACTGTCCATACTGTCTATACTGTCTCCATACTGTTTACATATTCTCCATACTGTCCATACTGTCTAGACTGTCTCCATACTGTTTACATATTCTCCATACTGTCCATACTGTCTAGACTGTCTCCATACTGTTTACATATTCTCCATACTGTCCTCTTCGCAATTCTTATTGTATTATCAGGGAGAATTGTGAGAGCCTCTAAATTGGTAATCGTTTCCTTTATTCTCATGGCCTTTATATTTGATTCAAGGGTGACACTGTAGGGAGGAATTATAAGCCAGTCACTATTTGGGTTTAAAGGGTTAATTTAAGATGAAGAGTTAGACTTGAGCATACAGCCCCACGCGAATAACACGTGTTTTTGATGCAGAAGCTGTAGTTACGGCTTACCAAAATAGCTTTCTTTCAGCGAGGGGACATGTTGCAACTTATGCTGGATGCGAAAGACGAAACAGGGGGAGAAAAGATTGACTATGAAGACATCATTGCCCAGACTTTGGTTTTCCTTATCGCTGGTTATGAAACAACAAGTACCACTCTGGGCTTTGTTTGTTATCATCTTGCTGTTGACACGCATGTGCAAGACAAACTGAGGAATGAAATTGACCGTCTATGGCCCGTAGACGAGGTATGAAGCCGTTTTAGCGCATAACGTAATATAGCTCTGCCAAGGGCTTAAAACAGATCCCTTGGCTAAAAGATAGTCGAGCTTTTTAGTTTACTAATCTCCCCTCTTGATCTTTGTGTCCTAACATAAGAAGGCTTCAAATGCAATTTGCAATTTTGATATCCCCGTTTAACCTTCTCTTTTTTTTCAGGCGTCACCGTCTTATGATGTCCTTCATAAGATGGAATATCTCGACATGGTTATTAACGAAGCACTCAGGATGTATCCCCCGGGCTTTATGTGCGTATAGGAAGTATAAAAACGATCTCTACTACCCCGCTTAGTAGACAGCTTCTCAATGTTCGACCATTGGCGCGAATTCAAAAATTATTCAGTCTCGTAATGATGAGATTTAATTTATTATAGACAAAGGAAAGTCATGCGACACGAAATTAAATTAATGTCAGGTTGATTTATGTAGATCAAGACAAAATGATGGCTTGAAAAAAATTTCTTTGTTGAAAGAAATTGTGATGTCTAAATATTCCAGAGATTTCTGAGTCCTAGTCAACTTTAACGTACGTTGGATTAAGACCCTTATCACCGATACTACTGGCACAAGCCTTACTCCCATTAGCTATCTACAGACTCGTGGTCGGTTCACTAGTTCTACAGTTGTTTCGAGAAAGGTTGTCGGAAAAAAGCTATTACGACACGCGACGACCCGAAAGGTATCGTGAGTAGTTTTCAGGTTATCACGGTTTCTTGAGCTTAGGATTTCAGAGAAATCTGAGAAAAAGTCACTGTAAGGACGAGACATTATGTTTTTGACGAATTTATTTAAATTCATTGATAGCGGACACCCGAATTACCTTTCAAGGTTATCGCGCCTTCTGCTGAAAAGGCGCCCTTTTGTCTGTGTTGTGGTTTTTGTTTCTTCCGTTTTCCAGCGAACGGAGGTGCAAGGAAAGTGCGAGGAAAGTGCCGGGAAAGTGTGAGAAAAGTAGGAGAATATTGAGTACAAAGTGTGATAAAAGCGCGGTAAAAGTGCGGGGAAAGTATGGGAAATATGCTAACATAGTACCCAAAAACTGTAAGAAGAGTATGATTAAAGGGCGATAAAAGTGCGTTCAAAGCGCGTGGAATGTTCGAGAAAAGTGAGAGGAAAGTGCAGAGAAAATTGGACAAATAGTATTCAGAATAGAATAAAATATAAAATAACGTAACAACAGCTGTCAACTTCATACCTCGAGCGTAACGGAAAACTGATACGAGAATAGGGTTACTGGTCGTTTCGTAACCACAGTCGTTTCGTACCCAGCTAAGACTATTCATGTCCAGTCAGTTGACTCGTTACGTACCCATACAGGAGCCCATTACTCCTGACTCACACTAATAAAGTATGTTTTCCATGTTAAGTATGTTTAAAGAAAGGTCGGTTTCTTATAATAAATTACAATACTACCTGCTTGAAATAAGTTGTCACGTGGCGTCCATTTCTGATAAGCGACGGAAAAGAAGCGTAAAAGTGCCGTAATGCGGTGAGATTGTCGCGTGCACTTTTGTCCTTTTTTCCGACAACCTTCTCGAAATGTGTTTACATGTCACTAGGTTTTGTCTAAATTTACTTGATTTCCGTCCTAGGACACAGAGAGATTGTAATGAAACCTGCACCATCAAAGGGATCAAAATTCCAAAAGGATTGCCCGTCATGATACCAATTTATGCCATCCATCATGACCCAGAGTTTTGGCCGGAGCCAGAGAGGTTTGATCCGGAGAGGTGCGAAAATGACGTCTAAATGTTCTTGTTTAGTGTTTTCTTCAGGGCTCGGAGTTATCAGAATGAAAAATCCCCGAATTATTATTTCATCATATTCTTCCGCCTTATCCCAGCCTTCATGAACAATTGGGGGTCTTTCACCTATTGCCATGATGGTCATTTTGATCTCTTTGATCTTTTTAAAGAAATTAGCTTTTGTAAGTTTTGCCTACGCTGTTGACGCAAATTCCCTCTTTTCGGAAAAAAGCTCGTCTTAATTCCTGTTGACTCATTAATGTTGATAGGTTTACAGAAGCGGAGAAAGCAAAACGTTCTCCTTATGCGTTCCTGCCTTTTGGTTATGGTCCCCGAAATTGCATTGGCATGCGATTTGCTTTGCTGGAAATTAAGCTGACGTTGGTGCGATTACTGAAGAAGTACAATCTAGAGAGCACCGAGAAAACAGCGGTAGGTTTGGCTACAATTTAGTTAGAATTTAAATACTTACAGCGACAGCTCTCGTTTGCTTTGTACCTTGTCAACAGAAAGAGCCATGCAAAAAGTTAGACGCAGAGATATGTAATTTTATACGCTTACCATTTTAAGCCGTTACTTTTGTAATATTCATATCATTTCTGTGCAAGCAGGATCTTTGTTTGTTTCCTCTTTTGCAGGTTCCCCTGAATTTTGCAGTAGCTCTCTCCCTTACGTGTCCTCCGGGGAAAATCATGCTACGAGTTTCCAAGAGGGAGTAAAGCAAGGTTTTGATCGCTGCCTGCACAATATTAGCAAGTACAATGTACTTGAGTCACTCAGTCAGGAAACTTAAATGTTTCAAAAGAAAACTGTTTGTAGAAGGAGGAAAAACCAATTTTTTCCATCACTGCAGATCGATGTGGAGGTGTTGGTAGTAATATTCCATGTGTAACTTATGGTGAGAAACTCACTGCTGCCGGCTACAATATTTAACAAATTATTCACCAAAGTAGAGGTTAATATACACCACATTCACCAACATTGAGGTGAATGATCGTTTCAGTATACACCACACAGATACCAAAAAGTGATTGGATTCTGCCAATATACCGAAAAATGATCAGAAATTTAACTCGTGACGCGTGGTTTTGTTCGGAGGAGAATTGAACGTTGCTATTCATTTCTGAACTAGCCGATCAGCGCACGTGAAAAGCACTGTTCATTTGTGTGGTAAATACTAATACATCATGTGTTATATTCTCTCAGATCTTTGAAGGGCAAGACATGATAATAAATATATGTATACGAATAGAGGAAAGAAAATGGTGAACTATGGCAAAGTCACTTACGATGAAAACCGATCATGTTTCGGCGGATTTCCTCGTATTTAAAGTGTCAAAATACGCTTGTGCAGAGAAATTGTGTACATAAAATCTTTGTAGACCAAAAGGAACTGTAGAAATGTTCAATTTAATGTTAGGGGCACTATTCAAGGACGAGTTGCTTTTGAGTTGATTTGAGCTCGGAGGCCGGTAATAAATGTTATTCACTACTGTAGACGGCTATGTATATGACCACAACACTTTGCGATAACTGTGCTTTGAATAAACGCTTTTTAATAGGATACAGTCTTCGCAACTACAATTTTGAATAAGATACCCGTCTCTTTTATCAGGATCCGCGATAAATTTAGCGAGGTTAAGATTCCAAAAAACTAATTTTGATTTTAGAATCATCACTTCTCGCTTCTCATGCGTTTCTTTTTTATCAGTTACAAATTTTCAATTTCTGGGGATTTTTTTTCTTCCCTCTATTGACCATCCACCACCCTTTGACTTGATCACATGTTCAGGCATGCCAAGGCATTCAGGGCTATGCGAGATATTTGCATGCAACACCTCGCTGCCTTGCGTTGATGTTATGCAATACAGCTAGAAGAAAAGGGAAGATTCTCAATTTAGTCATCTTCCTCCGAATTTTAGCGAAACGTGATCGCCTTTAATCCCAGAACAAGAAGAGATGATCGACCTTCTACAAACAATGATTCAGTTTACAAGTGACCACTGGGTTACTCTATTGATTGGATTTCTGATTTTCCTGTCTTATCGGTATGTAACACGTCTTCATTGCCTTCATTACGTTAGACCCATTAGACACACAGTCAAGTTGCATATTATTCGCTGATCCAATACTTTTCTTTCGGATATTGGGACTCGTAAATAAGATTTTGGCAAAATCGAAGGTTCAGACTCCAATTATTTAAATGCACGCAACGTAATTTTCTTACTTTGAAACCAGTGGAATTAAAACCAATGAACACCGGTCTCCAAGTTAGAGTTCTGATGTGAACGCAAAGGACTCTTGAAAATTTATTCCTTGTGTTGTGAGCAAGACATTATGGATATCAGAGTATAAACCCTTGCCACTAAAATGCGCGTAGAATAAAATCTTATATGCCTCGTGTTTGTGGCCACGTTTGGATTAACGCGGCTATGCAAATTATCCAAGGGCAAAGGGTGCCTCCGAGTTCGTGACAAGAGTGGAAGTCACGCACGCACTATTTTCAAAATAAGGTAGGTCCCCGTTCAACAACGTCAGAAATCTGACAACTTAAATTTAAAAAGAACAGAGCGCTCTGAGTTCATTTTCACAAGATGATATTCTGCTTTGTAGTTTCCGATTTAAAATGAAATTACATTATAAGATTTTAACCACTGAGCTCTTCGCCACAGTTGGGACAGCCGATGGTTCTAGGTTATTACTCGGGAATATCTTATTTTGTTAAGGTTCTGCGTTGTACCTTTCACCGTGTTCAAGAAACTTGGAATCAAAGGACCTGCACCTCTTCCTTTTTTTGGGAACTCCATACAGAACCAATTTAATGTAAGTTGGTTGACTTAATCCCAATTTTTTTGTTTACCGTAGTAATGAATCGAGTAAAGAAAGACATAGAGGCCAGTCGAGAAAATTCCAAAAGAGGGAGGCGAAGGGATATAACGAAAAAAATTAACTCATAATCAAGCAAAGCATTACTAGACATTATCCTCAAAATGATGATTGATAATAGGAAATGAAAAGTATCTGCTTTCAAGAAAAAGCTGGATGGCGCAATTGCAGTTTCAAGTCCTAAACACAACGAGGGCGGGTGAAAAATTATTGCGATAAAAAATCACAATCAAATAAAGCATTACAATTCTCTTCCTCTTGTATACTGATCGGTACTAGAAAGTACCTGGTTCCGAGTAATACCTTCTTTGGCCGTTTGAATTTTATAACTTCCCCATTCATTTTTAAAAGTGTAATAGAAACTTTTCTTTTTGCAGCCAAGCATTGTCCCGCAATGTCAGATATCATGGTGTAAAAGATATGGGAGGGTGTTTGGGTTTGTATACTTGAGCGTCCAGTCACGCCACAGTTATTATAATCACACAGAATGTCATGGCCATGGCTTCTGTCACTTACACGAGAAAACGTGACATATATAAGTCGAGAAAAGGCTATCGTGACTTTTTGAGTGGCTTTCTATTTAAAGAACAGCATGCTAAAAATTGTACAATCATTCTAAAACATATCGAGAAACCTTTCAAACTACCGAATTAGCACACATGTGAGTTAGCTAATATTTACACATTTACAATTTACAATTAGTCAGTTCTGATTGGTTAAGATAACTGCAGTTTTCAGGGGAGTCAATGCAGAAGAGGGTTAATTCGGTGCAAAGAAGTAACAAACCAGACTCAACAACTCCTTGAACTGTTAACCGGACTTTGAACTTTTTTGCGCCTTAAAGCTGTGAAAATATCATCATATATTATTGTTTTGATCGTACGCGGTTGTTTTGACCGAACGCACAATGTCACTTGCAGGGTTTGAATAAATTATTTCTGCACTTGATGCGCGCGCTTTGCTTCTGTATAGTTATGATAAGCTATCTCGTATTTTTCATGTATATTATTAATACGTAAGAACATGATTTTTCTCGTGCAATTTGGAATGAATAAGCACTTGTAAATTTTTTCAAAGACCACAAATTGCACGAGTCCGTAGGGCTCGTGCAATTTTGTTAGTCTTTGAAAAAATTTACTCGTGCTCATTTATTCCAGATTGTACTCGAAATCATGTGATTACCCAACTAACAGTTCCCTTTTTTCACTTTTTTAGCATATATATATTTCGTCAGCCTTTTCTGGTGGTGGCCGATCCAGATATGGTAAAAGACATCCTCGTGAAAGAATTCCCCAAATTTCATGATCGGAAGGTAGATCTAAAAAAAATTGTAAAAGCCTTTGTTCTTCACGAACCATTAATCAACAATTCTATACTGCTATTAGACTAATAAAGGAGGGGCCTCACCCAAATAATAAAACAAGGTCATATCTAAGTAACTCTTAGCCTCGGCCCTGTCTCGGCAGGAATGATAAATAATCATGGGTGAGAAAGTCAAATTTCTCGTACAACGTAAAGGTAGCTTTAGATCGTTTCTAACGCTAGCATAGAAATTTTTATGATACTTTGTCACAGTTAATTTTTCAATGCACCATTTATCAGAAACGTTACTCGACAATTTCTCGTCGGTACAACTTAGGCGCAAAATTATTATGACTTCAACACGAAAAATCATCAACATGTACATACATGCACGATATATGCCACAAAACCAATACGAACAGACTGATTTTAATTCTAACCTTATGAGTCAGTCTTATTCAGTGTTTAAAATTATGATTTCAGAAATTGGTAAACTTTCGAAAACCTTATGACAGAATGTTACAAGTTGCCAGTGGTCAGAAGTGGAAGGATATTCGATCCACGCTGTCCCCGACCTTCAGTGCAGCTAAAATGAAGCAGGCAAGTTAATTTTGAATTTTAAGAAAACTGCGTAGATGCATTTAAGTCTTAGGTAATATGGACGAAACTGTAACCGTGTGACACTCACTTGTTCCTCATTTCTGAAAACCTTTCTTTCAGATGATGCCCTTTATGAACGAAGCAGTAAACACTTTTATGCAGAAAGTGGACAGAATTTCAAAGACAGGAGAAATCGTTGATTTCCATAGGTCAGAACTACAGAGTCACATGACATAGGTGGCAAAAAAGAATTTGTATTGAACACACACTTCACAGTTTAAAATTTCCAACATTTTCAGAAGTCTGAACTCAGAGGCTACCTAAATTGAATTGTTAAGCTACCTTTACGCCTTTGAGCAGAGATCACGTAACGTTTATGTAAAACGTCTGATTAGAATGGCGTTAGCTAAAAAAATGCACAACAAAGAGTTTTCTGTCGAGTCAGCACAACTTGCTCCCAATGTCAAAAATCTTCAAATGGGTTAATCATCCTCTGTATAGGTACAAAATAGTTATCGTAAATAATTTAAAATCTATGCTTTGTTCTAATTTTTAAGGTGGTTTCAGAGTCTCACCATGGAGATAATATTTTCGACAGCATTTGGACTCAAAGTTGAGACACAAACTGTTGAAAATGATCCAGTCACCGAGCTTGCAAAGAAAGCCATGGCTCCACACCCTTTGCTCGGATTAGTGTGTGAGGATTTTATTTACTTCAGTTGCCTCTTTTTGTTTCAGTTTTGAACATGTCAACGTTCTTCTAAGAAAATATAGCATTATATTGAAGGAAGAAATTTGCTTGTTGGGGTTGACATAGTTACTTACCAAAAAACATAAATCAACCATGAGACATATTTGTACGTACGTGGTTATTCTGACCACTCTAATACTCTAACACTTCTATATTATCTTTTCAGTCCTCCTGCCATTCGGAGAATACATTATAAATAATTTACCGGACCCTTTTGATTGTGAGAAGATTTTGTCGTTATCAGCTGATATTATCGCTCAAAGGAGAGATGCAAAGGGCGAGAAAAGCGCGGCTGTAAGTAAAGGAGTCAGATAGTTTTAAATTGGTGGCATAAAAGTATTAGCAAGTTAGTCAAAAAGCTTGGATAACTATCACAACTGGCAAACAAGCCTTTACATGAATGTGAAACAGCCTATCGTTTTCTCGGGTATTTATTCATAATATGTTTGTCTATATCGTGGAATTAGACCGGGAAGAATTTGAAGGAAACCGTCTGCATAACTTTCCCTTTTCACTCCAAAAGTAGCAGAACAAATGCGCGTACTATGTTTATAAGAAATCCATTCTTATTTCTGTTTTTATGAGAAATCGTGAACATGAAATGAAATTATGTACCACGTTTCAGTAGATCCGTGTATTTCTGTGAATTCGGGACAAAACAAATAAAAAATATTACTTTTGCACAATATTGCTTGGAGTGTCATTCCGATGAAAAATTCATTTGATTCTTTTCAGCGAAAAGATCTTCTTCAATTGATGTTAGATGCAAAAGGCGAAACGGGAGGAGGAAAGATTGATTACGTTGATATTGAAGCACAGTGTCTTACTTTCCTTCTCGCTGGTTCCGATACTTCCAGTACTACTCTGGGTTTTGTTTGCTATGAACTCGCCCTTCACACAAATGTGCAAGACAAGCTGAGAGACGAAATCGACTGTATGTGGCCCAGAGACGAGGTTGGTAAATATCATTGGAACATCAACATGACAGACTTATTCAATAACTCTTCAAACACTTCGAAATTCACACTGAATGCCTAAAGTAACTTCTCGTTGGACACGTCAAGCACGAATATCTGCAGTGGACCAGGTTCTTGTACGCAACAAAACTTAATCCTAACATTTGGCCATCCCATTTGTTTTTTGTCTTCCCAACGCTGTATGTTTTAGTTGGCCTATTTCAAGAAAGAATTTACAAAAAGACTTAAAACTCGCTGTCTTTGAATGACGATATTTCAGACCTGCTAGACCTAAACGTTTGACGAAAACCTCTCCCTTTTCATCATGGATAAAGTAGTTTTTCCCTTGAATGGAATACAACCACAAAATACACAAAGGAGACTTGTGCCATATCCCATAATAATTTCAGACACGCAGAACATCGTCATCGGGGTTGACGATATTTTAATCAGTAAACCAAAAGCACGTTAGCGCGCCATCCGAGAAGAGTTCACTAATTTTGAATTTCTAAATGCAGGAGTCACCATCATATGACACCATTCATAAGATGGAATATCTTGATATGGTTATTAACGAAACAATTAGAATGCATCCTCCAGGATTTGCGTAAGTAATTGAAATAGATGGTAAGAAATGCTAGTATGAGTCTGGACATCGTATTGCAAAAGGGTTAGGTTTTTGGACCTAGTATACAGCAGGATTGTCACATGCACGTGGTCAAACCTTTACAACAGCGTGAGCAAGCCCAGAGGGTCATGTATATACAACATGCATGGAGAGATGGTGATAGGAAGGAAAATCACAAATCACGAACTCAAAGGTGCACGAGATAATAATGAGAAAGCCGTAGTAGTAAGCTATATGCCTTACTCTGGCTGCGTTCGAGAATTCGACATTTTCATAATGCGTCCACATGGCACTCAAAACCAACTGATTCGAACATCTGGCGTTGGGACATTAAATAAAGAATTAACATTTAGCCTCATCCCCGCCACCGCATACTTGAAAGAAGGCTTTGATTAGGATGTTTAATTATACAGAATTACTTTTTCATTTTACTTCACATTGCCTTAGACTTCACAGAGACTGCAACGAGGCTTGCACTACAAAAGGATTAGTCATTCCTAAAGGATTGCCAGTTATGATTCCATGTTATGCAATCCATCGTGATCCAGAGATATGGCCGGAACCCGAAACATTCAACCCAGAAAGGTAAGCCTTTCGTAAGATGATTCGTGCATGAACTGACCGGCAGGCTAGATGACTTGTACACGAAACTGGCCTGTGAACGAGTTGACTTCTGGGCGAGACGACCTTTTGATGAAATGACTTGTAGGTGACACTGACCTGTCACTGGCAGGTCAGTTTCACCAACAAGTACCGAACAAGTACCCTACCGGTTACCCCTCTTTGCGCAAGCCCAAACCTACTCTCAAACCGTAATCCAATTTGCTAATAGTAATAATAATAATAATAATGCTTTATTCTTGTCAGGTTCACAGAGGCGGAGAAAGCAAAGCGTCACCCCTATGCATTTCTACCCTTTGGGTTTGGTCCTCATAACTGTGTTGGAATGCGATTTGCTTTGCTGGAAATAAAACTGACCCTTGTTAGATTACTGAAGAAGTACAAGCTAGAGCGTACCGAGAAAACAGCTGTGAGTGAAAATCTTCTTTTCCTTTTTTCAGTTGTCTTCATCTGGGGGTCTTCTGATGCATTTCTTCGAGTATTGTCAGAATGATCAGCTTTCTACCAATATACTCTCATCCATCATTTCACCACTGTGTTTTGCTTGGATTTAACCTGTGTCCACGTGTTTATATGCACGAAAAAAGCTTAAACTCTACCCTTTTCAGCGTTTTGTCTAAGAGCAGCGCGAATGTGCCCGACTAAAAACAAGAATCAAATGTTTTGGAAACAGGGTGAACTGATAGTGATCGACGAAATAGAGCTGAAACGTAGCATAACGTCTATGAAATATTAATTACTTGATTGGTTTCTATTGTGAACTGGGCATCAACTGATACTGTAGCTGAACAATGTTCACTGATATATTTTAGCAAAAAGAGATGCGTGAATCAAAATCGATTCAGCTCTTCAATCTCCTATGAGTTGTACATCTTTGTACTTGTCAACGAAATTTCCAATGACTTTGATTTTGCAGGTTCCAATAAAGTTTGAAGTTATGTTTACTCTGATCTGCGCTCCTGACACAATCATGTTGAAGGCTTCACCAAGGGATTAAACACAATTATATTCTTGTCTTCTTCAACTTTGTAAAACGGTGAAAACGTTGTCTGGCTTTTAGATATGAGTCATTTACCTGAGTAACAACCAATCTAGAGTATTATAAGAAGTTGCTAGTAGTGTACTATTAGTGAACTTTATGAAAAACATTTATTACAAATGAGACAAGTACATATTAAATCTACCCTATGCCCCCAAGGAAAAAAGGTGTATACTAAAACAATGTACTAAGATCACAAATAAATCTAGTTGAACTCCACATTAAATGTGTTTAAATACTACGACAGCTATTTGAAAAAATATATATATTGTTATGGTTGATCCCCTTTCAATAACACTCTGGTAAAAGTACCCATAGCTCGGATGTCTATCCAGTTGACCAAAGATGATCAGATAAAGTGTATACCGTCATAGAGTGGCGTATTCTGATTGCGATCACTTCTCTTCATCGTTTAACTTATACTTAAATAAAAGCTCTTAGAATCCTCATCTGCCATTGAGTCTGTCGGGTCTCTTTCTTATCAATGGTTGGAAAATTGGCTCTAGCTACTAATCACATTTTATTCGCGATGAAATGAGCTTGCTTCATGTTTCAGGTGGAATGTCTTAGACCATGTTACAAAAAGTTTGCTTGATATCATGAATAATTTAATAATACTACTAACTGAATAAAGCTGTCAAAGCTAACGCTATCAATTGGTGCGGGGTGCAGTTGCGTTCTGAAATAAGAACGGACTTAGTACATCTTTTCTTACATTATACATCTACCACAAAGCTTGAAAGAAAACAGTGAGTGGAATATTGTTAACGAGTCAGTTAACCGGGTCAGGTGCGTCAGTTGTGACGAAAGATCGTGACATTGTTACCTTGTGTTACATCAGCTTTACTACCAATTGAGGAATTTGCATATACACTTATCATATGCAAACTATGTTGTCATTGTTGCATTTTGCCAAGTTAGTTGCAGGTTAAAGTGAGACCCTTGATACCAGAATCACCTGAGGGATGTTGCCTACCACTAAACATCTTTGGTAAAAAGTTATATTAGCACTGCCGTCGCTTTTTCTACCAGAAGAACGAGATTCTTGGACTCTACAACCAAATTAGATTTATTCAGTTTCCAAAACGAGTAGAGATGACAAACCTTCTCCAAGAAACAGTACAGTATGCATACGATCACTGGATTACATTGTTGGTTGGACTTTTAATCCTTCTGTTTTATCGGTAAGTAGTTAGAGTCAATTAAGGGTGTTGAGAATCAATGTTTTGGCTGTATTAAGAGTGTTTGTCGCTCGAGATATGCGCAACTTACTTTTACCTTAATAACTGATTTGATTTTAAACTTTCGAAGCATTTTTCGCGGCTCCAATCAAGCGGTGAATAGAAGCCTTACATGAAATCAAGGTGGTGTATGAGCTTCTACGATATGGACAGAAAGTTGAATGACGCCATTGTTTTTAGAGATTGAACGCATGTAAATAATCCCTTGTTAGACAATAAAAAGTCACGCAACATTGGAAAAATAACTTTCGAGTTCTTTACAAAAGTAACTTCCCGGATGACACTGAAACGGAAATGTGCGTTTTTCATGTTACAAGTCTTGGCAACATTGGGTTAAAAGGATACATCAGCATTTCAAAAATTTATCTCCTTTTGGTGACCGCTAAGTTAGTTATCAGTCGTAGGAATTCAGAGTTAAATTAAAAGCCATTTTTAATGGCCAAACTTTCATGGCTACAATTTTGATATCTAAGTTACTGTTATCTTACCTTTCCAAGATACTGTGTTGCACCGTTTACTGTTTTCAAGAAACTCGGAATCAGAGGACCAACACCTCTTCCGTTTTTTGGCAACGCTATACAGAACTCCTTTAATGTAAGTTGGTTGGCTTAATTTTTTTTTTCATCAGGGCCTAGTTGTTCAAAGGGCAGGCAACGCTATCCAACTGGTAAAATCCCTACCTAGCGGATAAGTGTTCACAAAACGTACTGCGTTATCCACAGGATTGAGCTTTTATCCAGTGGGAAGCATTATCCATGCACCCTTCGAAGAACTGGGGCCAAAATGATCGGATGGACGGGCAATGTTAACTTTACCTTAACGTGAAGAAGTAATTTATCATTGATAAAATCAAAAGTAGTCTTGTGGAAGGCGCAAAATGGCTTGCCTGATTGCAAACTCCAAACAATAACACGGTGGCATGTACTCAAGTTGAAAGAACAGGAAATCGAACAACGGAGCGGAAACTTGCATTTTCTTGACCAAAAGAGAGTGTTTTACGAATGAGGGGAACCTCTCTTACATTTGTTGGATGCGGGCGCATCTTTAGCGATTGGTAGAACCGTTTATTAATGACATAGAACCCTGGTGGCCTGTTGAGGCATCACTCCTAATAACCATTGACAAATTTCAACTCAAAGCTGACTTAGCCAGCATGTATCTTGAGGCTTTTTTATCTTAACTATGCCCATCATCAAGCCATTGCAAGTCCATGAGGGGGTTGAATTATGACCTCAAATTCTCCCCTAACAGTGTACTGACTTACTTTTTTTGCAGCCAAATGTCATCCCCAAGTGTCAAATGGAATGGTACAATAAATATGGAAAGATATTTGGGTATGTATTTTAATATTTTTGTTGAAAAAAGTAAAATAAACGAATCACCAATTGGCATCTGCTGATGATGATGATGTGATGATGGTGAAAGAAAGTTCAATCTGGTTGCTGGCCGTAGAAACTACAATAGTTCCTAAACCAAAACGGCCGGTAGGGCTCCCCTATGCACCCTGCATTAATTATAGTCCCTATAAGTTATTTCAAAATATATTTTCTTCTTTGTTTTCTTTTGTTTCTTAGACTCACCCTCTTTCAGAATAGAATATAAATAAGAAAAATTCTGAGACACCTTTGGTTTTGGCTTGCGAAATGTTCCAACATTAAATCATATTTTTCATATCGTATCATATTTTTGCAGAGTTTATATCTTTCGTCAGCCATTCATGGTGGTTGCTGATCTAGATATGATAAAAGAGATCCTTGTCAAAGAATTCCCGAAATTTCACGATCGAAAGGTAATAATGATATTTTTTCAATTTCCTCACTTATAGATCAAACCCTTTTTGCTACGCGACACATTAGTAAAGGTTAGGTTGGTTTAGTTATTTTTCAGCACGGATGAACATGACTGGATATTCTGAATTTTTTCATCTCTTTATTATCTTAGCTAGAAAAGCAATTAATATTGTATTGCAAGGGAAAAGGCAACATTGATGAAAGCTGTAATTTGAAGCAAATGATCATCATCGTTAAGAGTGTGAGAAAGCTTTAGCGCCTTACATAATCTAACTCATATACAATATATTCTTTAACTAAACGATAATGAAAGCCTAAAATGTACTGAATTCAAGATAGAAATGACATTCTTCTGTAACGTACAATTTCAGAAATTGATGAAGGACCTTAAGAAGCCATATGACAGAATGTTAACAATTGTAAGTAGTCAGAAGTGGAAGGATATACGGTCTACTTTGTCTCCAACTTTCAGTGCAGCTAAGATGAAGCAGGCAAGTTTCGTTTTTATTTTTAAATTTGTATTAATAGGCAATACGGGGCAGATCATTTATTTTTTCCTTCCCTCTGCTAATAAAAATTAAGTTGTTTTTGAAAGCGATGGTTGTTGTCACGAAAATTTGATTTGATTTTGGTATACGTACCTCTCTTGCAGATGATGCCCTTTATGAACGAAGCGATTAGCATTTTAATCCAGAAAGTGGAGAGAATTTCCAAGACAGGGGAGACCATTGATTTTCATAGGTCATTACAGTATACTCAATTTAAAATGATTAATGTAGAAGGAAAAACCGAAATGAACAAACCTTAATCATCATGTGATGTGACGATTCGGTTCAAATGAGTTCAAAAATAAATCGCGAAGGTTAGTGCATGAATATGGCAACTACTTCTAATTTGTTTAAGTAACTTTTCTGGGTTCACAGTTTGAACAGAGAACATAAAATATCTGTGAAAACTGATAATAGTCTCAAGACTTGAGTTATACTTGAAGAGAAAGACCCTTTAATTTCTCCTAATTGACAAATTATCTTTACAAAATGGGTACCTGTAGAATTCGTTATTTATCTCAAACTTTTTTTTCCCCTACATTCAGGTGGCTCCAAAGTCTTACTATGGAAGTGATTCTGTCGACAGCATTTGGAGTCAAAGCAGAAACACAAACTGTTGAAAATGATCCGATCACTGAGTTAGCAAAGAAGGCCATGGCTCCACACCCTTTGGTTGGATTACTGTGTTAGGATCTTTTTTCCTTACTTTTTTGTTAGTTTGTTTAGAAACTATCAAGACGCTCTCTGCTTATCAATATCGGCCACAGAAAAGAAGTTAAATTATAGTCTCTTGGAACACACCATCACACACCTGTTGTAATATGGTACTTATTGGCAAAACAGCAGAAAGCCATAGGATTTATTTTCCCCTATATGTGCCACTTTTTCATGTGTTTACGACCTCTTTACTTTAATCACACATTTGCAGTCCTGTTACCATTTGGAGAACACATACTAAATAACCTCCAGGATCCGTTTGATTTCGAAAAAATTCTTGCCATATCAGCCGATATCATCGCTGAGAGGACTGCCGCAAAGGACAGTAATGATGTACCCGTGAGTAGCTATCATTATGACAAAGAGCAGCACTCAGTATAAAATGATAAGTGGCGAATCTATAGCTCCTATCCTTCCTTAAACTGTCGGGGAGAATGCATAAAACAGAATGCGTTATGCGTAATTGCTAAACATAAACGCAAATAAAACGATTTCTCTGGTTTTCAATTATCGTGGCTCGTATTCATCAATGGTGAAGTTATGTCAGCCACCAAGTTGCAGAAGCACTCTTATCCCGTTTGCCACGTTTTTATACGAACATGTCATGATAAATTAGATGCCGGTATACTTTTGCGAAAACTAATGACCAAGAAACCATTTCTTCCTTCCACACTGATATCCATGCTTCCTTTGCTTTTAGCGGAAAGACTTACTGCAACTGATGCTGGATGCAAAGGATGAAACAGGAGGAGAAAAAATTGATTATGATGATATTAAGGCACAATGTCTAACTTTCCTTCTCGCTGGATATGACACATCCAGTACAACTCTCGCTTTCATTTGCTATGAACTCGTTCTTCACACGGACGTGCAAGATAAACTGAGGGACGAGATTGACCGTATGTGGCCTGGAGATGAGGTAAGTACTCAGAGTGTGTAAAATTTCTGTCAATAAACCAAACATTTGTTTAACGTAATAGTAGGAATCGAATGATTAGATTTTTGAGTTCTTGTAAATGAATTATGTTTTCGTAGGAATCTCCATCTTATGACTCGCTCCATAACATGCAATACCTTGACATGGTTATTAATGAAGCAATTAGGATGTACCCGCCAGGATTCGTGTGAGTAATTGAAATAGTGGAAACGAAATTTTGGAATTACTTTGGTTTAAATCAATACAAATCATTTCCCCTTTAGGGTACGTTTACTTCTAGAATGTAACCTGCATATGGTAAAAATTTGACCAAATGGATGTGTAAAGCAAACTATCCAGGTTAAAAAGGAAAAACAAGGTGCTTAAAAAGACTATTACATGATGCGAGTATACCACTCAACTAGTTCTTTGAAAGGTCGATGGCTGCACTCTCTTGTATTCTGCGCCCGTGATTTGGCCTCTATCAAAAAGGCTTTCTGGGGATTAACAGGGTAATTTAGTGTTATCAGCTGAGATGAAAACGTAAATTGGCCACCGTAAAGAGTTTAAAGGCTGACGTTTCGAGCGTTAGCCCTTCGTCTAGCCCTTCCTATCGTTCTAACGAAGGGCTAACGCTCGAAACGTCAGCCTTTAAAATCTTTACGGTGGCCAATTTCAAATCAGTTTATAACACTAAATTACCCTGTTATACTCTCTCACCGACGCAGCACCACAGTCTCTTTAGAAAACTCAGGTGTAACTTTAGGTTATTTTTCATCATTTCGTCAGCCTTCAGAGAGATTGTATGGAGGCCTGCACTATAAAAGGGCTGCACATTCCTAAGGGATTGCCTGTTACGATTCCGTGTTATGCAATTCACCATGATCCGGAGATATGGCCGGAGCCAGAAAAGTTTGACCCAGAAAGGTGAGCGTAATCTAAGATGATATTCGAGCTCAACATTTTAGCAAGAGAGCTTTTGTTTATGGCATGTTTAAATGAAAATAATTGATAAATATTTTTTTTGGAAATTATTCTTCTGCCAAGGCCAGCTTCTGTCAAAGCCACAATAGCTTAAACCAACTAAGAGTACTGGGATCTTTCCCTTGATGGAATGTTGATCATTCACAGATGGATCCCAGTATTCTGTCAAGTTTCCTGTTAGTTCACCATGCAATACTACCCATATTCCTGATTGATAAGAAATTTTAGGTGTCTCACCTAGAACTCAAACCAGTGACCTGGGTGTAGGCCTCTGCTCACAATTTTTGAGCCGGCGTCAAGCACGCTGGTTATTATAGGTAACCTCGTCTCAAGCATGATGATACTTCCATTACGACAGGTTCTCAGAGGCAGAGAAAGCAAAGCGTCATCCCTATGCATTCATGGCGTTTGGATTCGGTCCACACAATTGTGTTGGAATGCGATTTGCTTTGCTTGAAATTAAACTGACCCTGGTGAGATTACTAAAGAAGTATAAGCTGGAAAAGACTGAGAGGACAGCGGTAAATATACATCTTCTTTCTTTCGTCCTGTTCAGCTGTCCCTACCTAAGGTCTCATTTGTAATGTTGTTTTGTTGGTTTTCGCGGTTTAAATTTGTTTCTATGTATGTTCATACGTATATAGCCACTGACTGATAATTCAACGTCTGCTAAGAGTTTATATACACGCGTAAGGAGGGAGGCTACCGTAGCTTCTTAAATATCGTAGATCTATCCATAATGTTAGAAAAAAAAAATTTCCCGTTATTCGAGGAATCGCCTTGACAACTTTATTTTGACACTAGTACAATGTTCTTCAGTTTCGCAATATGTCGATTTACCCGTTTAAAACAAAATTTTCATAGCACGATGGAGTTACAAGAAATAAAAACGACATGTAACAGGCACCTAGAAGAGTACACAAGATGTCATGTGTGAGACAACAGAGTCAGTCATTCTAAATCTGGTCATGTATCGTTGTAATTGAGTCTTGGGAATTTAGTTAGCTTTCGTCTTTTGCAGGTTCCAATGAAGTTTGAAGTTATGTTTGTTCTCACCTGCGCTCCTGAGACGGTTATGTTGAAGATTTCACCGAGGGATTAAAATACGATCATATTGTATCTCGTTTAGCTTGTAAACCGATGACGATGTACTTCGCTAAAACATCTTATAGCACTCCTTTGTCAACCTCGGTTACGGTTTCGCCAAATGTTTTTTCACTTTTCTCAGATAGAATATTCTTTGAAAATGTCTATCTGAACGCGAGAACCGGCCAGGATTATTAGGTTAGAAGACTCAAACTAAATATATCTATTTAATAATGATTAGTATGCACAATTGTTATGCACTTTTAGTACCTGAGGCTTACGAAACGTTTCGAACAAATATCAGTGACGCTTAATACTGTGACGTAAGCAAACTTGGGCAAACTAAGACGTCAGCAAAAGTGGAATTAACAAAAATAAAGCACCAAAGTCACGTTACCTCAAAATACTGTGCCTTCAACGAAGAGCTTCACGATATTTTCAACACTGCTAAAAATACTGACAGAAAGGCATACAAAAATAACCATTATGTAGGATTCTAAATGTTTCAATCGTTTTCCGGAAGATGTCTACAAGGATGCAGTTACACCAATCTTTAATGAATAAGGTCACTCTTTCCATTTTGCATCATATATATTAGCATCAGAGCTGAGGAA